GACTACAGGTGCCTGCCACCTTGCCTGGCTATTTTTTTGTATTTTTTAGTAGAGACGGGGTTTCACCATGTTGGCCAGCTGGTCTCGGTCTCCTGACCTCAAGGGATCCGCCCGCCTCTGCCTCCCAAAGTGCTGGAATTACAGGCGTGAGCCACTGTGCCCAGACTGCTTGGTTCTTCAGACTGTTTTTTCCTGCTTACTCATCAACTTACCCAGAACCCAACATGTTAACTTCTGTAGCCACACCAAGCTGTGGCTGGAGAAGGGAGGGTTCATTAGCCTCACCCCATAAGCTTAATCTCTCTAGATTTCCCAATAAAGGTAATTGACATTTTTCATTTTTATATAAATGCTATGTGAATAAAGAGTCAAGAGGCAACTCTTTTTCTTTGCTCCACATCAATCAAATTGCATCCCCGAAAGTGCCTTCAAAATAGAAATTCTGGAGCTGCCACTGGTAAACTCAGACTTAAAATTTTTAAGATTTTCCAACTGAGGTTCCTTGTAGCTTACTGACTCTGGCTTTCAGTGTTATAGTTACAGAGTACCAGGAAGAAACCTGATTTACCCAGCTTGGATCAAATGTCCAACCTGGGGCGGGCTGCAGTTACATAGTCTAGACATGGTCATCTAGTCCTACCCCTTAAGCAGGGGTACTAGAAACCATTCCCAGACAAGAGGGCATGGGCAAGTAGGTACATTATATCGGAACCTCGTCAACTACAGAGGGGAAGGGGAAAATACCCTAATAGTCCTAACCTCTGGTCTGATCCATTTATGGGCAGACCTTCAGAGATGGGTCTCATCAAAGATGTTTACCCTTTGAGAAGTCTTCAAGATAGGTTCTATGAACCTGGAACCTTGCAGGACCACTGAGTCAGCAGTGACTTAGAACTGACTCAGAATGAGATAGGCGTCAAGTTATGAGGAAGAGAGGGTGTTGTTTATTGAGCTGGTTTGTCTTTGTCAGATAGTTTATAAGGACAAATGATGGCCTGTCAGCTGAGCTAAGGATTTAAGAAAACTGGTATTAGATATTTAGGTATTTAGGCCAAGATTATGTGCTTTTAGATTTCTGTGATTTTTCCAATGTCTCTCCAGAATATTAGGTCTTTGGCCTTCCTCTCTACATTGTGATTCCCTACAGAGTAAGGTTTATCTTTTTACCTAGCATTATTGGTGTTCATCAATATTAAGTGCATTGAACTCATGCATTCATGTGACTAAGTTTTAGTTAAGTGTTCATTGCAGAAAAATTTAAACCATATAGTAAAATGACAGTTTATTTCTGTTCTTTGGGACACTCTGAGCCACCAGGATCATAGATTATTTTAAGTTGTCATTTATAACACTTCTCATTTTTCTTCTCTGGAAATGAATCTTTGCTTTTGTTAGCCTTTTTTTTTTTTTTTTTTTTTTCTTTTTTTGACACGGAGTCTTGCTCAGTTGCCTGGACTGGAGTGCAGTGGCATGATCTCGGCTCACTGCAAGCTCCGTCTCCCCGGTTCACGCCATTCTCCTGCCTCAGCCTCCCGAGTAGCTGGGACTACAGGTACCCACCACCACACCTGGCTAATTTTTTTTGTATTTTTTAGTAGAGACGGGGTTTTACCATATTAGCCAGGATGGTCTCGATCTCCTGACCGCGTGATTCACCCGCCTCGGCCTCCCAAAGTTCTGGGATTATAGGCATGAGCCACTATGCCCGGCCCTGTTAGACTTTTTAAAATAATTAAAATAATAGACTGTTTTTAGAGCATAAAACTGCTTTATGGTTTACAGAAAAATGAGTAGGAAGTACAGAGTTCCCAACTACTCCCTCTCCCCAACCCCATGGTTTCCCTTGTTAACAACTTGGATTCATACGCATTTGTTACCATTGCTGAGCCAACATGATACATAATTGTTAAGTAAAATTCATAAATAGTTTAGGCTTCATTTCTTTGTGTTGTGTATTCTGTGGGTTTGACAAATGTATGAAGACATATATCCACCATTACAGTATTATCCAGAATGTTTCAGTGCCTTAAAAATCCCCTGTGCTTCACCTATCCGTCCCAACCTCCATCCTCTGTCAACCACTGATTATTTTACTATCTCTAGTTTTTCACCTTTTCCAGAATGCCAGGTAGAAGTTATTTGTATATATAACTTTTCAGATTGGCTTATTTTCCCTTAGCAATATGGATATAAGTTTCCTCCATGTCTTTTTCTTTCTCTCTGTCTTTTGTGCTTGATAGCTCATTTCTTTTTTTTTTTTTTTTTTTTTGGAGACAAGGTCTTGCTCTGTCACCCAGGCTGGAGTGCAGTAGTGCAAGCATAACTCATTGCAGCCTCTACCTCCTGAGCTCAAGCAAACCTCCCAAGTAGCTGGGACTATAGGCATGCGCAACGATACCTGACAATTTTTTTTTTTTTTTTTGAGACGGAGTCTTGCTCTGTCACCCATGCTGGAGTGCAGTGGACTGCAGCTCCGCCTCCCAGATTCACGCCATTCTCCTGCCTCAGTCTCCCGAGTAGCTGGGACTACAGGCATCTGCCACCACGCCCGGCTAATTTTTTGTATTTTTGGTAGAGATGGGGTTTCCCCGTGTTAACCAGGATGGTCTCGATCTCCTGGCCTTGTGATCCGCCTACCTTGGCCTCCCAAAGTGCTGGGATTACAGGTGTGAGCCACTGCGCCTGGCCATACCTGACACATTTTTAAATTTTTTTTTTTTTTTTTTTTTTTGAGACGGAGTCTCACCTGTTCCCTGGGCTGGAGTGCAGTGGTGCAATATTGGCTCACTGCAAGCTCCACCTCCTGGGTTCACGCCATTCTCCTGTGTCAGCCTCCTGAGTAGGTGGGACTACAGGTGCCTGCCACCACGTCTGGCTAATTTTTTGTATTTTTAGTAGAGATGGGGTTTCACCATGTTAGCCAGGATGGTCTCGATCTCCTGACCTCGTGATCCACCTTCCTCGGCCTCCTAAAGTGCTGAGATTACAGGTGTGAACCACCATGCCCGGCCAAATTTTTAAATTTTTTCTAGAGATGGGATCTTGCTGTGTTGCCTGGGCTGGTCTTGTACTTCTGGCCTCAAGTGATCCTCCCACTTCAGCCTTTCTAAGTGCTGGGATTGCAGGTGTGAGCCACTGCACTCGGCCTAACACAATTTTGTGATGGGTCTCCATATTCCTTAAAATTAGAAATGTATCAGCTGGGCATGGTGGCTCACGCCTGTAATCCCAGCACTTAGGGAGGCTGAGGTGGGCAGATCACTTGAGGTCATGAGTTCGAGACTAGCCTGGCCAACATAGTGAAACCTTGTCTCTACTAAAAATACAAAATTTAGCTGGGCATGGTGGTGCACACCTGTGATCCCAGCTACTTGGGAGGCTGAAGCAGGAGAATTGCTTGAACTCAGGAGGCAGAGGTTGCAGTGAGTCAAGATCGCACCATTTCACTCCAGCTTGGGCGACTGAGCAAGACTGTGTCTCAAAAAAAAAGTACTATTTTCCCTACATCCTTGCCTACTCCTGCTATTATTGGAATTCATTCCCTACCTCCCAATCTTATGGGTAAAACTTTCTCTTATTTTTTTCTTCAGCAAATTAAACTTAACTCTGTGGCAAAGTCAGTACTCATTAAATATATTTTATTGAAGGAACATAGTCCACTTGGTAGATTTGAGGCTTGAATACTAGAAAGGCTTCTTTTTTGGTTTTTAATTTTTAAAAGATTTTAAGGTTTTGGTGACTAAACTCAATTATCCATAGATAAAAATATTAATGTCATCTTATCTAAATATGTATAGTCTTGAATCTTCCCTAAGGATTATATAGTGCGATTATGTTACTTGTAGATGAGAGATGACTATAGGCAAGTAAGTTTGTATTCTTTTTTTTTGTTTTTGAGACAGAGTCTCACTCTGTTGTCTAGGCTGGAGTGCAGTGGCGCCATCTCAGCTCACAGCAAGCTCCGCCTCCTGGGTTCACGCCATTCTCCTGTCTCAGCCTCCCAAGTAGCTGGTATTACAGGAGCCTGCCACCACGCCTGGCTAATTTTTTGTATTTTTTAGTAGAGATGGGGTTTCACCATGTTAGCCAGGATGGTCTCAGTCTTCTGACCTCATGATCCACCCGCCTCGGCCTCCCAAAGTGCTGGGATAAGTTTGTATTCTTGACTGTCCTAGCCATTTATAGTTAAAATTAGATCCATAATGTTTTTATTTAAAATTCAAAAAAATTTTTTAATTAAAAAAAAGTATTTTTGAATCAGGGTCTCACTCTGTTGCCCAAACTGGAGTGCAGTGGCACGACTATGGCTCACACTGTAGCCTCGACTTCCCAGGCTCAAATGATCACCCCACCTCAGCCTCCTAAGTAGCTGGGATTACAGGTGCATGGCAACATGCCTGGCTAATTTTTATATTTCTTCTAGAGATAGGATCTCACTAAGTTGCCAGAGCTGGTCTCAAATTGCTGGACTCAAGTGATTCACCCGCCTTGGCCTCCCAAAGTACTGGGATTACAGGTGTGAGACACTGCACTGTGCCCTTGATGTTTTTATTATTTTGTTTTATTATTATTATTTTATGTTATTACTTTTTTTCTGAGACAGAGTCTCACTGTTTTGCCCAGGCTGGAGTGCAGTAGCATGATCTCAGGTCACTACAACCTCTACCTCTCAGGTTCAAGCGATTCTCATGCCTCAGCCTCCTGAGTACCTAGGAATACAGGTGTGCATCACCACTGCCTGGCTGATTTTTGTAGTTTTAGTAGAGACAGGGTTTATCCATGTTGGCCAGCCTGGTCTTCAACTCCTGGCCTCAAGTGATCCACCTGCCTTGGCCTCCCAAGGTGCTGGGATTACAGGCATAAGCCACCACTCCCTGCCTCCATGATGTTTTATATAGCAGATTAAGATACTTTCCAAAACATCTCATACCAGTTGGTGCATTTTTTATGTTTGTTGTTGAAGGAGTATAATAACTGTCACATAATTTGTTTTTTCATAGATTATCTTGACAATGGTAATAATAAAATGGCAATTCAGCAAGCAGATAAATTGTTGAAGAAACATAAGGATCTTCATTGTGCTAAGGTAACTTCATTTGCCCTTCAGTTACTTACCTGTGGCGGGTTATATTTGTAATTCCTTACCTTAAAGAGAAAGGAGGGCTGGGCGCTGTGGCTCACACCTGTAATCCTAGCACTTTGGGAGGCCAAGGCGGGGCGGATCATGAGGTCAGGAGTTCGAGACCAGCCTGACCAACATGTTGAAAACCTGTCTCTACTAAAAATACAAAAATTAGCCTGGCTTGGTGGCGTGCGCCTGTAATCCCAGCTACTCAGTAGGCTGAGGCAGCAGAATCACTTGAACCCCGGAGGTGGAGGTTGCAGCGAGTGGAGATTGTGCCATCGCACTGCATCCTGGGCAACAGAGTGAGACTCTGTCTCAAAAAAAAAAAAAAAAAAAGAGAAAGGATGGCTAGTAGTGTCTTTTTTGTTTTTGAGACAGAGTTTCACTCTTGTTGCCCAGGCTGGAGTGCAATGGCTTGATCTCAGCTACCGCAACCTCTGCCTTCCAGGTTCAAGCGATTCTCCTGCTTTAGCCTCCCACATAGTTGGGATTACAGGCATGCACCACCACGCCCAGCTAATTTTGTATATTTTTTAGTAGAGATGGGGTTTCCTCATGTTGGTTAGGCTGGTCTCAAACTCCCAACCTCAGGTGATCTGCCTGCCTCAGCCTCCCAGAGTGCTGGGGTTGCAGGCGTGAGCCACTGGGCCCAGCTCACTATTTGTGTTTTTTCTCATTACTTTATAGGTCATTTATTTCCATGGTCATTTACATGCCACAAGTGATATTTCTCTTTTTTTTTTTTTTTGTGATGGAGTCTTGCACTGTTGCCCAGGCTGGAGTGCAGTGGCACGATACTGGCTCACTGCAACCTCTGCCTCCCCGGTTCAAACGATTCTCCTGCCTAAGCCTCCCAAGTAGCTGGGACTACAGGCGTGTCCTACCATGCCCAGCTAATTTTTTTGTATTTTTAATAGAGACGGTGTTTTACGGTGTTAGCCAGGATGGTCTTGTTCTCCTGACCTCCTGATCCGCCTGCCTCGGCCTCCCAAAGTGCTGGGATTATAGGCATGAGCCACTGTGCCTGGCTGTGATATTTCAATAAAAGCTAACTTTATTTCTTTGCATATTGCTTACCTAATTTATTTTATTTTCACAGAATCCTTTGATGCAATATTGTGCACTTTTTTGTTGGTTTTTTTTTTTTTTTGAGACAAAGTCTCTATTAGCCAGGCTGGAGTGCAGTAGCGCAACCGTGACTCACTACAGCCTTGGTCTTCTGGTCTCAAATGATCCTCTCATGTCAGCCTCCCGCATAGCTGGGACTGTGGGACTACAGGGTGTACCACCATGCCTGGCTATTGTTTTTTTTTTTTTTTTGAGATAGGGTCTCTCTCACTCTGTTGCCTAGGCTGGACTGCAGTGACATGATCACAGCTCACTGCAGCTTTAACGTCTTGGACTCTAGTGATCCTCCTACCTCAGCCTCTTGAGTAGCCGGGACCACAGATGTGCACCACCACACCTGGCTAATTTTTAAACTTTTTGTAAAAATGGGGTCTCACTATGTTGCCTAGGCCAGTCTTGAACTTGTGGGCTCAAGTAATCCTCCCGCCTCGGCCTTCCAAAGTGCTGGGGTTACATTCCTGACCATCGAACCTGGCCTATTGTTTTCCTTCAAATTTTTTCTAGAGATGAGGTCTCACTGTGTTGCCTAGGCTGGTCTCAAAGTCTTGGGCTCAAGTGATCCTCCTGCCTTAGTCTCCCAAAGTGTTATAGGCATGAGTGCACCATGCCAGTCCTATTCACTTTTTTTTTTCCGAGACAAGTTCTCATTCTGTCGCCCACGCTAGAGTGCCATGACGTGATCAACCTCCCAAGCTCAAGCAGTCCTCCCATCTCAACCCATCAAGTAGCTGGGTGTACACCACCATACCCAGCTAATTTTTTATTATTTTTTGTAGAGATGGAGTCTCACCACGTTGCCCAGGCTGGTCTTGAACTCCTGAGCTCCAGCGATGTGCCCGTCTTGGCCTCCCAAAGTACCGGGATTACAGACGTGAGCCACCGCACCCAGCCTGAAACTAGTATATCAGCAACTTAGGCATACCTTAATACTTGTTCTTTCAGATCAGCTTTCTTTGGTTCATATTTCCTTTTCTGTCCTTTTAAAAACTGATTTTTCTGTTGTTACTATCAGGTTTTAAAGGCAATTGGTTTACAGAGAACTGGAAAGCAAGAGGAGGCCTTTACTCTTGCACAGGAGGTGGCAGCCCTTGAACCCACAGATGACAACTCACTGCAGGCACTGACTATCCTTTACCGAGAGATGCACCGACGTATGTTTCTTTCTTTGCATTGTTTTTAAACTTGAGCTGAAAATTTTGGATATTTCTGACTGAGTTATCTGTTTGCCCTTGTCTGATTTGTCATTCATGATTTGAATGGGTGACAGTAGGTAGAATAACACATTAGCCAGGGTTTGCGAGAACTGTAGCTAGAAAGGATAGTTTACATGCATTAGGATCCTTGAATTGGAATGAGGATTAAGGTGACTTCATTTGTGGTATTTTGATTTGCTAAATGGAGGCTTCACCCTTATTTTCACTTTTTAATATGGAAAATTTCAAGCAGACAAAAATAGAATAGAATAATAAACCCCGTTGTTCTTATTATCCACCTTCAGCAATTAACACATGGCCCAAATTTTATTTTGTTTCTACCGTTTCCCCTGGCAGATTATTTCAGAGCATATCCTAAGTAGTCCATCGTTTCTTCTGAAATAAAGGTTTTTATTGTTAATTTCTTAAATATTTCATTGTGAAATAATACATATTTTTCATAGTACATATTATAAAATAATCTTTTTTATGTAACATATAAGTAAATTTGATGTGTAATAATGAAAACTCATGAACCTACCTCCTAATTTAAGAAGTGGAGCATTGCCGGGCGTAGTGGCTCACACCTGTAATCCTAGCACTTTGGATGGCGAGGCAGGCAGATCATTTGAGGTCAGGAGTTCGAGACCAGCCCGGCCAACATAGTGAAACCTTGTCAGCTGGGTGTGGTGGTGCACGCCTGTAATCCCAGCTACTTGGGAAGCTGAAGCAGGAGAATCAAAACCTCCATCTCCTGAGTTCATGCATCCTCTCCTGCCTCAGCTTCCCAGGTAGCTGGGATTACAGGCATGCACCACCATCCCCAGCTGATTTTTGTGTTTTTAGTAGAAACAGAGTTTCACCATGTTGGCCGGGCTGGTCTCAAACTCCTGACCTCAAGTGATCCACCTGCCTTGGCCTCCGAAAGTGCTGGGATTACAGCCGTGAGCCAAGTGCACCTGGCCTCCTCAATCAATCTTAATTCTCCTTTTACCTATCAAGAGTTACTTGCTATTCTGAATATTTTTTATTCTCTTGCTTTTCTTTAAATGTTTATTACATTTATTTCTCTTAGTAATACATTATTAGTTTTGCTTAATTTTAAACTTTTGTTAGTGTATCTGTACTGTATATGTTCTGTGACTTGCATTTGTCATCTAGTAGCCAAGTGGCTATAGTTAATCCATTTTCACTACCACAAAATATTTCACTGGGTAACTACATTACAATATCTAGGAGTGGAATTTTCAAGTCATGGGGTAAGTGTATGTTTAGCGTAAAGCAAGATAATGTCAACTTCTTTTATAAATAGAATAGCAGTTTTTGAGTTCTGATTGCTTACATGCTTGTCAACACTTGGTATGCTTTCTCTCTTCATTCATTCAAATAGCTCAGATTGTAACATTTGGTATTTGTAACCTTAAACATTGTTGCCAATTTCTTTTGAGAGGGGGTTTTGCTGTGTTGCCCAGGCTAGTTTTGAACTCTTTAGGCTCAAGCCATCTGCCTGCCTCAGCCTCCCAAAGTGCTGGGATTATAGGCACAAGGCACTGTGCTCAGCTTCAATTTTGTTTTTAATTTTTACAAAAGATAAAAAGAGTTGAGGTATTATATCTGAATATTTACAGATTATGTTGATTTAGGGATATGGATTCTTCTCCAGTGTTTTAAAAAAATCATTTACTCCACAGATATTGGTGGCATGTTTCTCTATAACTGCTATTCTATCAGAGTCAAAGATAAAAAATGCACTTTCAGCTGGGCGTGGTGGCTCACGCCTGTAATCCCAGTACTTTGGGAGGCTGAGATGGGCAGATCACCTGAGGTCAGGAGTTTGAGACCAGCCTGACCAACATGGAGAAACCCTGTCTCTATTAAAAATACAAAATTAGCCAGGCATGGTGATGCATGCCTGTAATCCCAGTTACTTGGGAGGCTGAGGCAGGAGAATCACTCGAACCTGGGAGGCGGAGGTTGTGGTGAGCCGAGATTGCGCCATTACACTCCAGCCTGGGTAACGAGCAAAACTCCATCTCAAAAAAAAAAAAAGCACTTTCTGCTGTCATGTCACTCATTGTCTATAAGGGGAAATAGATCACTAGACAGTATACTACATTATGTGTTAATAAATGCTACAGTACAGCCTGGGCAACATGGCGAAACACTGTCTCTCCAAAAAATAAGTTAGTTGTGGTAGTATGTACCTTCAGAACCAGCTATTGGGAGGCTGAGGTTGGAGAATCACCTGAGCTTGAAAGGTCAAGGCTGCAGTGAGCCGTGATTGTGCCATTGCACTCCAGCCTGGGCAACAGAGTGAGACCCTGTCTCCAAAAAAAAAAAAAAAAAAAAGCTACAATATACTTATTTATATAAGATTCCAAGATGGCAGAAGGAGGCAGTAGTCAAATTGCAGTGGAGGAGCAGAGATGGTGTTCAGAGAAAGTTTACAGTTCAACTTACATTTGAATTGGGTCTTGGCTGATGTTCACTAAGATAAAAGAGAGGAAAGGAGAATTCAGGCAGAGGGAAGAGTGTAGAGGCATAGAGGTATGCATGATACATCCCAGAGAATCTGGTGGAACTACAAATAGTTTGTGGCTACATGATAAAGTGCTGAGGGAAAGAGGAGACAGGGGCCAGATCCTATAAGGTCTTGTATGTTGTAAATGCTATGAGAAGACTTGACCTATTCCATGCTTCATTTAAACACCACCTAACCAAGAGATGAATGATGATTGGATGAGGCCAAGCAGATACTTCTTCTATAATGGTAGGAGACATCTATTTCTGCCAGATAGGAAGAACATTAAATGCCATTAGAATTTTCTTGAAGTATAACTTAAATCTTATTTCTCTTTATCTTAGCGGAGTTAGTTACAAAACTTTATGAGGCAGCTGTGAAGAAAGTTCCCAATAGTGAGGAGTATCACTCTCACCTCTTCATGGCCTATGCCAGAGTGGGTGAATACAAGAAAATGCAACAGGTAATTTGATCCCCAAACCTACTGGGCTATGGGATTTACTATTAGAAGTAAAAGTCTCTTTCGTGTGAGTTAACTGCGCTGGGTGTGTGTGTGTAGAATTGAATTTATGGATTTTTTTTGTGTGGAGGTCAGTCAGTTGTTTTCCTTATGTGTTTAAAGTTGAACTGTTTTTCAAGATCTTTAAATGTTTTATTTGGGAATAAGTTGATTGTTCTTTTGTGGCCTGATGTTATGTTTTGTTTGGTTTTGGTAATTCAGCTTCAGATTGTCCCACTGCATCAGATTGCTGTTAAATTTTTAGAAAATGGGCAGATATACCAGAGCAAAAAATGAACAACTATGGAAAGAGTAAATTTAAAGGTTACATCTAATTTGTAAATTTAAACTGTTGATAGCCTGCTAAGATTTTTAAATCCACCAGGGGAAGAATCCCTGTTGCCTGACATGTTTCTTTTTAAATTTATTTTTTGTTTTTTTTGTTTTTGGTTTAAGGCAGCTTATTTGGCCGCTACCATATTTTAGGTATTCTTTACATACATCTGAAGGAGCCTCATTTGAACACATTTAAATTAGGTTGCGAGTAAAGCTAACATCTCAGAGAAATGAAATCAGAACTATTAAGTCCATAAATGGCTATGATGTCAAGCTAGTATTTTTCTTTTTCTTCTTTTTTTGAGATGGGATTTTTCTGTTGTTACCCAGGCTGGAGTGCAATGGTGCGATCTCGGCTCACTGCAACCTCTGCCTCCTGGGTTCAATGATTCTCCTGCCTCAGCCTCCTGAGTAGCTGGGATTACATGCATGCGCCACCACTCCCGGCTAATTTTGTATTTTTAGTAGAGACAGGGTTTCTCCATGTTGGTCAGGCTGGTCTCGAACTCCCGACCTCAGGTGATCTGCCCGCCTTGGCCTCTCAAAGTGGTGGGATTACAGGCGTGAGCCACCACACCCAGCCCAAGCTAGTACTTTTTTAGAAATGCTTTCTTTGTGGGTATAATATCTTCTGAAGGCAAAATGTTTTGTGTTTTCATCTTATTCTTTACATTAAATACCAAGTTACAACAGTAGATAATTTGGGCAGGGTGGCAGATACTATATTAATATAAATATAAATTCTTAAAATCAGTCTCTGTATTTTAAGTTTATGCAAGTTTTAACATTTGGAGAATTTTTTTTTTTTTTTCTCTCTTGTGATGGAGTCTTGCTCTGTTGCCCAGGCTGGAGTGCAGTGGCACGATCTTCGCTCACTGCAACTTCTGCCTCCCAGGTTCAAGCGCTTCTCCTGCCTGAGCCTCCCAAGTAGCTGTGATTACAGGTGCACACCACCACACCCGGCTAATTTTTGTGTTTTTAGTAGAGGCGAGGTTTCACCATGTTGGCCAGGCTGGTCTCAAACTCCTCACCTCAAGTGATCCGCCCACCTTGGCCTCCCAAAGTGCTGGGATTACAGATGTGAGCCAGTGCGCTCAACTGGAGAAATTTTTTGAGGGATCTCAATGTAATTATTTAATAACATTTTATTAATTTATTTACGGAAAGGTATTTAGACATTATAATTTTTAAAAATGTAAAATGGCTGTGGGTGTGTATTTATATATAAATATAAATATATATATATATATATATATATATATATATTTTTTTTTTTTTTTTTTGGAGACAGTCTGGCTCAGTCATCCAGGCTGGAATCCAGTGATATGATCTCGTCTCACTGCAACCTTCATCTCCTGGGTTCAAGCGATTCTTCTGCCTCAGCCTTCCGAGTACTGGGACTACAGGTGCACGTCACCACACCTGGCTAATTTTTGTATTTTTAATAGAGATGGGGTTTCACCATATTGGCCAGGCTGGTCTCGAACTCATGATCTCATGATCTGCCCACCTCAGCCTCCCAAAGTGCTGGGATTACAGGCGTGAGCCACCGTGCCCAGCCATAAAATGGGTATATTTTTTTAAATTGGCAATGCTAACATATATACATATAAATCCTTAATATCATTTTTATTTGTAAGATTATTATTATTATTATTATTTTTGAGACGGAGTCTTGCTCTGTCGCCCAGGTTGGAGTGCAGTGGCTGGATCTCAGCTCACTGCAAGCTCCGCCTCCCGGGTTCATGCCATTCTCCTGCCTCAGCCTCTGGAGTAGCTGGGACTACAGGCGCCCGTCACCTCGCCCGGCTAGTTTTTTTGTATTTTTTAGTAGAGATGGGGTTTCACTGTGTTAGCCAGGATGGCCCCGATCTCCTGACCTCGTGATCTGCCCGTCTTGGCCTCCCAAAGTGCTGGGATTACAGACTTGAGCCACCGCGCCCGGCCTAAGATTATGTTTTAAGCAAAGTGTATTAAATATTCATTCAGAAGGACAGAGTAAAAGAAGTTATAGTTCATCCCTATGGTACATAAAATGCATTCCCCCATCTCTCCAAATAATACTGGGTGTCTTTATATGGTTGACATAGAAAGATGTTCCCAGTATATGTTAATTGAGACAAGCAGTGGCCTTCTCTTCCCATTCTTCTCATGTTGTCCTCAAAAGGATATACTTCTTTTCTTTCTTTTTCTTTTTTTGAGATAGACTCTCTCTGTCGCCTAGGCTGGAGTGCTGTGGTGTAATCTCAGCTTAACTGTAAACTCTGCCTCCTGGGTTCAAGTGATTCTCCCACCTCTGCCTCCCAAGTAGCTGGGATTACAGGTGCCTGCCACCACACCTGGCTAATTTTTTTTTTTTTTTTTGAGATGAAGCCTCACTCTCTGTTGCCCAGGCTGGAGTGCAGTGGTGTGATCTCGGCTCACTGCAACCTCTGCCTCCCGGGTTCAAGCGATTCTCCTGCCTCAGCCTCCTGAGTAGCTGGGGTTGCAGGTGCACACCGCCATGCCCAGCTAATTTTTGTATTTTTAGTAGAGACGGAGTTTCACCATATTGGTCAGGCTGGTCTCAAACTCCTGACCTCGTGACCCACCAGCCTCAGCCTCCCAAAGTGCTGGGATTACAGGCGTGAGCCACTGCACTTGGCTAACTTCTGCATTTTTAATAGAGACAGGCTTTCACCATATTGGCTGGGCTGGTCTCAAACTCCTGACGTCAAGTGATCTACCTGCCTCAGCTTCCCAAAAGTGTTGGGATTACAGGCGTAAGCCACTGCACCCGGCTAATTTTTTTTTATTTACTTATTGAGTCTCGCTCTGTCTCCAGACTGGAGTGCAGTGGCGCGATCTTGGCTCACTACAACCTCGCCTCCTGGGTTCGAGAGATCCTCCTGTCTCAGCCTCCTGAGTAGCTGGGACTACAGGTGCGCGCCACTATGCCCAGCTAATTTTTTGTATTTTTAGTAGAGACAGGGTTTCACCATGCTGGCCAGGCTGGTCTCCATCTCTTGACCTCATGATCCGCCCACCTTGGCCTCCCAAAGTGCTGGGATTACAGGCGTGAGCCACTGCACCCTGCCTGCGCCTGGCTAATTTTTATACTGTTGCTGCTTAAGGAAGTTACAGTTTCTTAGCTTAAGTATGTTTATTTTGAGTGTGGAATGTCAGTCTGAGGTATTTCACAAGTTTAATGTCATATTTCATATGGATAAAGGTTTTTGTTTGCTTTGCTGATTGTTGATTTTCCATTGCCTAGAATAGCATCTGCACATTAATTTGTTAAGCAAATACAGTTTGTATAAACTGGTGGAGGTAGGAGGGAGGGAAACTTAAGAGCTTCTGCTGCCCCAAATAACATTTCTGGCTGGTGATTCTGAAACCACCATAAATGAAGAGTAGCTAGTTTTTCATATGGTGATAAGGTTTTTCTTTTCCTGTAAATGGCATTCTCATTCTGCGTCACCAACTTAGATTCATGTTTTTAAACTTGTCTGTCATCAAAAATTTTGTTTTAGCAGATTATCAGAGCCTGCAAGATCATAGGGTATGGACATGAAATTTTTGCCTTGCATTTTATATTAATTCATATTCTAATGTTACATATTTTTATCTCTGTATGTCTTATAAAAATGTTTTCCCATATTCTCAAGTAAAATGGATTTCTTAACTTTTATTTATTTTTAAACATTTATTTATGTTTTGTAGAGATGAGATTTCACTGTGTTTCCCAGACTGGTCTTGAACTGCTGGGTTCAAGCAGTCCTCCTGCCTTGGCTTCCCAAAGTGCAGGGATTACAGGCATGAGCCACTGTACCCAGCCAGTTTTCTAACTCAAAGAAAAAATTATTATTTTTTATTTTGATTGTAAAGTCTTCCCAGGGATCAATTGAATTTCCTAACATTTTTCATTTTATACCTGTGGAGTATATGTACCCCAGTGTTAGAAGCAGGAGCCTCAGACCATCTTAGACTCTCCTATCCTTTATGTCCTTGTTGTCTCTAGATCATCTTCATTCTACTGCTGCTGTATCTTTTTTTTTTTTTTTTTTTTTGACATGGGGTTTCACTCTTGTCGCCCAGGCTGGAGTTCAGTGGTGCAATTCCGGCCTACTGCAACCTCCACCTCCTGGGTTCAAGCGATTCTCCTGCCTCAGCCCCCTGAGTAGCTGAGATTACAGGCACCCACCTCCACGCCCAGCTAATTTTCATATTTTTAGTAGAGACAGAGTTTCACCATCACTTTTATCTTTCACCCTAACTTTATTGGCCAAACTGGTCTCGAACTCCTGACCTCAGGTAATCCTCCTGCCTTGGCCTCCCAAAGTGTTGGGATTATAGGCGTGAGCTATGGTGCCCGGCCTCTGCTGTATCTTTCCAGGTTTCTCTTCTGTTTGATCTACCCCATCCTGGTTTTGTGCCTCATCACCTCGCCTTTTCTTTCTTCCTACTTTGTCTCTTCACAGTACTGCTAAGATACTATTCCTAGAAGAGTATAGATTTATATATATCACTTCTCTATTCTGTATAGGCTCCTTTTTTAACACCTTACAACAAAAGTACCTTGGCCTATCTTTCAACACTTTTCCTACTACTCTGAATTGTTTTAGCCAGATATCCTACTTGTTTTTATCAGCATATATCCCTTAACTTTCTTGAATGTTTTTTGTTCAGACTCATTTTTCTCCTACTTTGAGGTGATTCATTTACCCATTCACTGCAAATATTTGTAGTTTTATATGTATCGTTACCACACCCCTGCACCCCGCCGCCATGTTCTGTTTGACTTCAAAGTCATCTGAAAGATGGCTACCTTGGAGGGGCTTTAATTATAACGTTCTCCTCTCTACTTTCCCTTAAGGAAAGAAGAGGTAAGAAAATGAACAACTTTGCCTTCCTTGGAAAAACCCTAGCATGGTGTTTTATATAGGACATTTATTTTTATATTTTAGTTTTATCATTTTGATTTTGAGACAGAGTCTCTGTTGCCCTCGCTGGAGTGCAGTGGTGTGATCACAGCTCACTGTAGCCTCGATCTCCCTGGGCTCAGGTGATCTTCCCACCTTAGCCCCTCACCAGTAGCTGGGACCACAGGTGCTTGCCACCACCCTGGTTAACACATATATGTGTGTGTGTGTGTGTGTGTGTGTGTGTGTGTGTGTGTAAGATTTTACAGTGTTGCCCAGGCTAGTCTCAAACTCCTTGAGCTCAAATGATCCTCCTGTCTCAACTTCCCAAAATGTTGGGATTACAGGCATGAGTCATCATGGCTGGCCTAGGACATTTATTTTTTATTATTATTTATTTATTTTTTGGAGACAGAGTCTCATTCTGTTGCCCACGCTAGAGTGCAGTGGCGCAATATCTGGTCACTGCAACCTCCACCTCCCAGGTTCAAGCGATTCTCTATCTTAGCCTCCCGAGTAGCTTGGATTACAGGTCCCTGCTGCCAAATCCAGCTAATGTTTGTATTTTTAGTAGAGATGGAGTTTCTCCATGTTGGCTCACCTGGTCTCGAACTCCTGACCTCAGGTGATCTGCCAGCCTCGGCCTCCGAAAGTGCTGGGATTACAGGCATGAGCCACTGTGCCTGGCCCAGGACATTTATTTTTATTGCTAAATACATTTCAGTCATTTATGTATTTGTTTTCTCCCTCGCTTTTAAATGGCTTTGGGACAGGGACTCGATCTTTGAATCTTTGTTGGGAATAGATAGTTTCTTCTACTTCATAGGAGCTCCATTAGATCGGCAGTAATTTTGGAACTAGATTGGCAGTAGGCAAAAGATTAAAAAACATATGAAAATTACTTGATGGAGTTTTTAGCGTCAATTACTAGTTGGCTAATTATGGATACAGTCTAAATTATGCTTGAATAGGTCTATTCTTTTTTAAAAGCATGTTCCTGCTTTTAAGTATTTGCATATTATACATTTTATAATGAAAGATTTCAGTCCTAATTATTGGAATCTTGAAGTAACCATATTATTTTCCTAAAAAGAATTTTTGAATTATGGCATAGTAATCTTTTCTGATATTGAAGTTTAAGTGTATTCTCTGGGCTTGTTTATTTGTTTTTACTAATAACTGGTTAGTATGGTATCTTCAGTAAAGTTTATTGATGTATAGTACACTTACAAGCCACATTTTGTGTTTGCTTTGTAGTTTGCTAGAACTATATTGGATTGCAGTGTATTCTGGAAATATCGGACTTTAGGCCGGGCGCGGTGGCTCAAGCCTGTAATCCCAGCACTTTGGGAGGCCGAGACGGGCGGATCACGAGGTCAGGAGATCGAGACCATCCTGGCTAACACGGTGAAACCCCGTCTCTACTGAAAAATACAAAAAAAACTAGCTGGGCGAGGTGGCGGGCGCCTGTAGTCCCAGCTACTTGGGAGGCTGAGGCAGGAGAATGGCGTGAACCCGGGAGGCGGAGCTTGCAGTGAGCCGGGATCGCGCCACTGCACTCCAGCCTGGGCGACAGAGCGAGACTCCGTCTCAAAAAAAAAAAAAAAAAAAAAAAATCGGACTTTAATTTTAGAAAATTCTGATTCAGAAATTGAAGTGTCACTCATAACATGAATATTCACCTTTGTGATTACTACTATTGCTATAGCCATCAAGTCACTAGGCATTTACTAACTGGGATATGTAAATATATTGCTGTTCTCCCAATAAATTTTTTGTCATGTGTCTAGATCATTAATCCCCCTCTGTATGGTGTTTCTAAATAAAATATTTATGGTTCTCTTTTAGGCTGGCATGGCTCTATATAAGATTGTCCCCAAAAATCCCTACTACTTTTGGTCTGTGATGAGCTTAATTATGCAAGTGAGTATGGCATTCAGAATGGGATTGAGGTTTGGTTTTATTTTTTATATAGTCATTGTCCTCAATGTGTCTTCTGAACTTTTTTTTTTTTTGAGGCAGGGTCACGCTGTCACCCAGGCAGGAGTACAGTGGTGCAATCAATCATAGCTCACTGCTGCCTTGACCTCCTAGGCTCAAATAGTCCCTCTACCTCAACCTCCCAAGTATCTGGGACTACAGGTGTATACCACCTTGCCTGGCTAATTAAAACAAAATTTTTTTTTTTGGTCAGGTGTGGTGGGTCACGCCTGTAATCCCAGCACTTTGGGAGGCCGAGGTGAGTGGATCACGAGGTCAGGAAATCGAGACCATCCTGACCAACATGGTGAAACCCCATCTCTACTAAAAATATAAAAATTAGCTGGGCGTGGTGGCACGTGCCTGTAATCGCAGCTACTCTGGAGGCTGAGGCAGAAGGATCACTTGAACTTGGGAGGTGGAGGTTGCAGTGAGATGAGATTGTACCACTGGATTCCAGCTCGGGCGACAGAGTGAGACTGTTCAAGACCAGGCTGGTCTTGAACTCCTGGCCTCAAGCAATCAGTCCTCCTGCCTCAGCCTCCCAAAGTGCTGGGATTACAGGCATCAGCCTCTGCATCTGACTGTGAACATTTTGCGTAATGTGTTGCAGCATGTCAGACAGGGAGTTTGTGTTGTCAGTTGACTTAAGTTAGGGATTTTGAGTATTCTTTATGAGTTGGTATATCAGTTTATTTGTGGGTAGCATGGACTGTATTTCCCCTGAATCTCTGATCTATTGCTGGGTTGCTTGATCAAGCATGAGCCTTGAAATGTTTGATATTACAACTTGATGTTTGCCTTTAGGACAACATTGCTGGTTAGTTAATGGCTCATTGAACTGGGTGGCCTTCTTTTATCACTTCTCCTTTCTGAGCCTCAGTTTGCTCTTTTGCAGAAAGGAGACACTTCTCTCCCAGGGACCCAAGTGAGATTCTGTATAGGAGAGGATAGGGAGGAAGGATTTAAAAGTAGTGATTAAGAACAGATGTTATGGGGTCAGAGAGGTCTGCTTTCATATGTTAGCTTTACCACATGTCTGGTAAAGCTGTTTGGGAAATCTCTTAACTTTATTTATTTATTTATTTTTTCTGTTGTCCAAACTGGAGTGCATGGCACAATGCACCTCCTAGGTTCAAGTGATTCTCATGCCTCAGCCTCCCAAGCAGCTAGGATTACAATCATGCACCACCACATACACCCAGCTAATTTTAAAATTTTTTTTCAGTAGAGATGGGGGTTTTGCCATGTTGGCCAGGCTGGTCTCAAAACTTCTGGCCCAAGGGATCCACCTGTCTCAGCCTCCCAGAGTGTTAAGTTTACAGTCATGAGCCACCACTCCTGGCCTAACCTTAGTTTCTTTGTAAAATAAGCATAACATCTACTTTGAAAGGTTGTTTACAAGGGTTAAGTGAGCTGTGAGCAGATTCTGACGTTATTAACTTTATGAATTTCATGTGTTAATTTTTGTTACCAATTTAAGGTAACTAGCTACTAGTAAACTGTAATGAAAGGAATTGGCATTTCTCTTCCAGTATGTGAACATCTCAAAGATACCTGGAAGGCTTTCCTCTTCAAATACCTGATAATACTCATAAATAATAAACAGTATAGGCATGCTACCTCTTTATATTCTTTTAGAAAAATGTATAAATAACTGACTTAAATGCTAGGTTGTATTGTGGAAGCTCAGTATTTCAAGAACACATAGGATAATGAATCTTTAGCAGAGAAATCTTTTGTAAAACAAACCACTCTGTAATGTGCCTCCTTGGCAGGGAATTCATATTAGGTCTGATATTTGACATGATGGATTGATAATTATGTGCCCAATTAATGGTAATGTTACTATCAATAGCGCAAGCAGGGGAGAAATTAGAATGAAACGTTATTTTTCTTCTTTCAGTCTATATCGGCACAGGATGAAAACCTCTCAAAAACAATGTTTCTGCCCCTTGCTGAGAGAATGGTAGAAAAAATGGTGAAAGAGGACAAGATAGAAGCTGAGGCTGAAGTGAGTATTTTAAGCCCACTTTTGTGTTTTCATTTTTTTGCTGGTGCTACAATATGTTATAATACTATAAACTGTTGTTTTGTTCCAGTTTGATAGCTGGGTCCTCACTCTTGGCCTTTGGGTAAATGTGAAGCCCTCAGCTTAGGTCTAATCACTGAGCTGTTTCTAGCAAGTACTCTAGGCTGAGATGTATATAGATGGGAGAGAGATAGATGGAGAAGATCCTGTTACCTTTTTCTTACTGTCAGTTTCATCTCATTTGAAGACATGCTCTATTAAATAACTTTTTAGAAACCTATAAATTACTATCTATTATTGAAAAGTTTCAGAGGTTGCACTTCTTGTTTTTTTTTTCTGTAAGGTTGAACTTTATTATATGATCCTGGAACGTTTGGGAAAGTACCAGGAGGCCTTGGATGTCATCAGAGGGAAATTAGGAGGTAATTTTTAAAAATTTTCTTAAAGCTTTTTTTTTTCCTATTTAAACATGAAAAATGGTTATCGTAGAAAATTTCCACGTAAGGATATAAAGACATAAACACTTTTGATCATTTTGTTATATTCTTCCAGACTTTTCTGTATGTTGTAAATTTATTTTTAAAAATGTTTTTACTTGAAAATAACAGATTCAGAAACTTCAAGAAATGTGAAAGGTTATGCTTCAGATCTCTAGCCTTCTTCCCATAGGTTTTCCTCCAGTTATACTTTATATTCTTCAAAAGATTCATCTTCTCCACTTTTTTTTTCTTTTTCTTAAACAGAAATGAAAACATAGTATGCCTGGCTCATAGAATAATCTTATTCAGTTAGCGCAATGTTTTTATTAAAAAAATTTTTTTCTTTAAAAATTTTAAATTAATGCCCCTCTAGTTAGGATTTGTATTCTGTAGATACCACAAACATTCCTTCTTTATTTACATTTTTGTCCTATGAAGGCATTTGAGTTTGTGAACTCTGCTCTGCATACTCTTATACCCATTATTTTTATTAATTATTGATTTATTTTAAAGAGATGAGGGCTCACTGTGTTGCTGAGGCTGGACTTGAACTCCTGGGCTCAAGCAATTCTCCCATCTCAGCCTCCCAAGTAACTAGGACTAGGGGCACACACCACCACACTGGGCTCCATTGTTTCTATTTTTTTTTTTTTTTTTTTTTTTTTTTGGAGGCAGAGTCTCGCTCTGTGGCCAGGCTGGAGTGCAATGGTGTAATCTCAGCTCACTGCAACCTCCGCCTCCTGGGTTCAAGTGATTCTCCTGCCTCAGCCTCCTGAGTAGCTGGGATTACAGTCATACACCACCACGCCCAGCTAATTTTTGTATTTTTAGTAGAGACGGGGTTTCACAATGTTGACCAGGCTGGTCTCAAACTCCTGATCTCAAGTGATCTGCCTGCCTCGGCCTCCCAAAGTGCTGGGATTATAGGTGTGAGCCACCACACCTGGCCTCCATTATTTTATTATTATTTTAACTAAATTGTATTTCCTAGAGATAAAGTTCACTACCTCACTCTCTTTAATGACTGTCCAGTGTTCCACAGTGTGAATATAGAAATTTACTTAACCAGTTTTTGGTGCATATTTAGGCTACTCACAAGAAACTACTTCCTTTTTTTTTTTTTTTGGAGACAGGGCCTTGCTCTGTTAGCCAGGCTAGAATGCAGTAGCACCATCACAGCTCACTGCAGCCTTGACCTCCGGGGTTTAAGTTATCCTTTCACTACAGCCTCCTAAATTGTTAGGACTCCAGGCGTATGCCACTAAACCTGGCCAATTTTTACATTTTTTGTAGAGGCAGGGTCTCACTATGTTGCCCAGGCTGGTCTTGAACTCCTGGGCTCAAGTGATCTGCCTGCTTCAGCCTCCCAAAGTGCTAGGATTACTACAGGTGTGACTTGTCATGCCTGGCCTTTTTTTTTTTTTTTTTTTTCCTTTTTTTAAAAACTAGATTATAGTTCTATAGATAGTTAAAATTTAGATTCTCAACAGGAAATTCATAATGTAATTTTTGGTATCCTTAATCTACTAAACAGTTGGGCAAATCTAATTTGGTCAGAACTATCATCCTAGTTTTTTTGTTTTCAGTTGTTTGGAAAGAGTTTGATTCATCTCCACTCTTTTTTTGTGTTCTTTCAACATCTCATCTTTCTTACCTCACGTCAGCCCAGCCCTATTTGATATTTTGGAACTGTATGGATGGGCAGCCTGTCTATGGACTAAATTTACTAGTCCCTAGATGCTGTTGGGATTTTATAAGTATATCCCATGTACTGTTAATAGATCTTCAACCCAATACATTGTGGAACCTATCATTTTACAAAGAAAATAATTATAAAAATTTACTGTCAGTAATGTACTTTTTTCTTTGAAGTAAAATAATCTTTAATAAGATAGTAGTAGTTTGTATGTAATAGTGGTCCCATTTTGTAAGAGAGTGAATTAAAAAATGTGACATTTAGGCCGGGCCCGGTAGCTCACAGTAGTAATCCCAGCACTTTAGGAGGCTGAGATGGGTGGATCACCTGAGGTCAGGAGTTTAAGACCAGCCTGGCCAACATGGTGAAACCCTGTCTCTACTAAAAAATACAAAAATCAGCCAGGCGTGGTGGCAGGTGCCTGTAATCCCAGCCACTTGAGAGGCTGAGACAGGAGAATCGCTTGAACCCAGGAGGTGGAGGTTGCAGTGAGCCAAGATCATGCCATTGCACTCCAGCCTGGGTGACAAGAGTGAAACTCCATCTCAAAAAAAAAAAAATAAAAAAGGAAGAAAAGAAAATGTGACATTTTCCTTCTTGTGGTTGGACTCTATCTGGTAATTGTCAGAAATGAAACCAGCTTACCAACTTTTACAACTTTTGATTTTAGAGAAGTTGACAAGTGAGATTCAGAGTCGGGAAAATAAATGCATGGCTATGTACAAGAAGCTGAGCAGGTGGCCAGAGTGCAATGCCCTTTCCCGGCGCCTCTTACTAAAAAAGTAAGTAAAAGCTTTCTTTTGTACCATTTGACTATAGTGAGGCTTTAAGACCTCACTGTTGATTTTCTTGGTGTCTTGTATTTTAAAGTTTCTGGGCATAAAGTTTTCTTATAGTAGTTGTGTCCTGCATGTTTGTAAAAGTTTGTAAGGAGCCTTCATCTTTCAGTAGAGTATTATAATGGTACTTGTAGTCTGGGCGTGGTGGCTCATGCCTATAATCCCAGCATTTTGGGAGGCCAAGGCGGGCAGATCACTTGAGGTCAGGAGTTTGAGACCAGCCTGGCCAACATGGCAAAACCCTGTCTTTACTAAAAATACAAAAATTAGCTAGTCGTGGTCGTGCGTGCCTGTAGTCTCAGCTCCTTGGGAGGCTGAGGCACAAGAATCACTTGAACCCGGGAGGTGGAGGTTGCAGTGAGCTGAGATCGTGCCACTGCACTCCAGCCTGAGTGACAGAGTGAGACTCCATCTCAAAAAGAAAAAAAAAGATACTTGTGACCATGGTGCTGAATTCTAGTTAGGGTTTAAGAATGAACACTGAAAATCATTAATTTCTCAAATTCAGTATTCCCCTGAAAGAGAGAGCCTTCATTCTTTGCTACAGCACTTCTCTCCCCTTCCCTCCATTTTGGAAGTGCTTATGTGGGGACTTTTCTGTTATGAATATTAGTTTTCTAGACCTGGTCATTTTATTGAGGGAAAGAGTAGCTTACTAGTCTTTACAAATACAAAGTAGTATTACTTTGAAAATGCCTCTGGAGTGCCTTTTAGAGTTGCAAAGGAAACATGGAGTGGGTGGGGGTGAGCCAACCTACTACATACTGAAATGTAACTTACAAAATAAATTGAATATCATGGTTCCTAAGGCAGATCTGTCACAACTTGAGTTTAATCCTGTGTGCATCATTCAATCTGATTTTAGCTCAGATGACTGGCAGTTCTATCTGACTTATTTCGATTCTGTCTTTCGACTGATTGAAGAGGCCTGGACTCCTCCTGCTGAAGGTGAACAGTAAGTTGTCTTCTTTCCTGAATTACAATGGCGCTTTTTAATATAGTGTAGTGAAAGGATTTCATTATAAGCCAATTGAATTCTCTTTTTCTGTCTCAATAAAGTATTCCTTTCAAAGTAAGAGATTTTTTCCTATTTTTTAAAGTATAAAATACACAAGTTCATTCTAAAAATCATGTTAGTTCCGAAATATGTGGTGTGCTAATTTCCACTTATCCTACCATTCCAGAAATAACTCTTTTTAACAGTTTGGTGCCTTTTTGCCAGATTTATTTTCATGTTTATGCTAAGATAATTATTCTTTTTCTTTTTCTCTTTTTTTTTTTGAGACGGAGATTGACTCTTGTCACCTAGGCTGGAGTGCAATGGCATGATCTTGGCTCACTGCAACCTCCGCCTCCCAGATTCAAGCAGTTCTCCTGCTGCAGCCTTCCGAATAGCTGGGACTACAGGTGCCCGCCGCCATGCCCAGCGAATTTTTGTATTTTTGGTAGAGACGGGGTTTCACTGTGTTGGCCAGGATGGTCTCGAACTCCTGACCTCAGGTGATCCACCCACCACAACATCTCAGCCTCCCAAACTGCTGGGATTACAGGCATGAGCCATTGCGTCCAGCTTAATTATCCTTATATTTAATATAAAAATGGGATTGTATTAGACATGATTTGCAACCTGTTATTTTCTGCCTTAAAATATTTCTTGAACATCTTTCATTTCTGGTACATGTAGATCTCTTTCATTTTTTTTTTTTTTTCCCAGCAGCTTAGGAGTACTCCAGATGTACCATAATTCATTTAGCCTTTTCCCTATTGATGATACTTGGATTTTTGAAGATCTCTCTTTTTTTCCTTTGTCCTTTTGTTATTGGCTATTGTATGCAGTACTACAATAAAATTTTTTTTTTCCTTTTTATAGGCATCTAGAGGTAAATGAATAAATGGCATCTTTTAAAAAATCAATACAGAAGTAAGATTCAAGATGACAGTTATGAGCTGATGCTTGCTTCATAATATTAACTACATTACCTAATTTTTCTTAGCTTTCATTCTTTTTTTTTTTTTTTTGAGACGGAGTCTCTCTCTGTTGCCCAGGCTGGAGTGCAGTGGTGCAATCTCGGCTCACTGCAACCTCCGCCTGCCAGGTTCAAACAATTCTCCTGCCTCAGCCTCCCAAGTAGCTGGGACTACAGGCGCTCCCCACCACACCTGGCTAATTTTTTTTGTATTTTTAGTAGAGACAGGTTTCACCATGCTGGCCAGGCTGGTCTTGAACTCCTGACCTCATGATCCGCCTGCCTCGGCCTCCCAAAGTGCTGGGATTACAGGTGTGAGCCACCACACCCAGCTTCAGCTTTCATTCTTAAAGCGGTAAAATGTACAAGACCCCATCTCAAAAATATATATGTGTGTGTGTGTATTTAATTTTTAATTTTTGTTTTTTTTGAGACAGAGTCTCACTCTGTCCCCTAGACTGGAGTGCAGTGGTGTGATCTTGGCTCACTGCAACCTCTGACTCCTGGGCTCAAGTGATCCTTTTGCCTCAGTCCCCAAAGTAGCTGGGACTACAGGCATGAACCACCACACCTGCCTAATTTTTGTATTTTTTTAGAGATGAGGTTTCACCATGTTGCCCGGGCTGATCTTGAACTCATAAGCTCAAGTGAGCCACCCTCCTTGGCCTCCCATACAGGTGTGAGCCACCATGCCTGGCCTTTTTTTTTTTTTTTTTTTTTTTTGAGATGGGGACTTGCTCTGACACCCAGTCTGGAGTGCAGTGGTGTGATACTGCCTTCCACTGTAATCTCTGCCTCCCAGGCACAAGTGATCATCCCACAGCAGCCTTCCAAGTAGCTGAGACTGCAGGTGTGCACCACCACAATTGGCTAAGTTTAAAATTTTTTGTAGAGATGAGGTCTCCATGCATTGCCTAGGCTGGTCTCAAACTCATGGGCCCAAGCAGTCCTCCCACCTCAGCATCCCAAAGTGCTGGAATTTCAAATGTGAGCCACCACACCCAGCCTTCTATTTTTATTAGGCAATATTTTTTCTTTTTTCTTTTTCTTTTTTTTTTTTTGAGATGGAGTCTCGCTGTGTCATCTAGGCTGGAGTGCATTGGTGTGATCTTGGCTCACTGCAACCTCTCCCTCCCGGGTTCAAGTGATTCTCCTGCCTCACCCTTCTGAGTAGCTGGGACTACAGGTGCATGCCACCACGCCCGGCTAATTTTTTGTACTTTTAGTAGAGATGGGGTTTCACCATGTTGGCCAGGCTGGTCTCGAACTCCTGACCTCACGTGATCCGCCCACCTTGGGCTCCCAAAGTGCTGGGATTACAGGTGTGAGCCACCATGCCCGGCCAGGCAATATTTCATATAGACAAAATTATTCTTTCTTTTTTAAAAAAGGTTAAGTTATGCCGCAGTAATCAAATGTCAAAATTGAAAGTAATCTTATAACATGTTATCTGTTAGAATATGTTCATAGTTCTCTTTTATTCCTTTTTCTATTATTTTATAATTATCAAAGTTTTTTTTTGTTTTGTTTTTTTGTTTTTTTTAATGAGTTTGGCTTGACTTTAAGCTTTGGGAAGGATGATAGAGGCAATAAAATACCTTTTTCATATGCTTCTCCTCAGCTCTTTAGAAGGAGAAGTACATTATTCTGCAGAAGAAGCTGTGAAGTTTATAGAAGATCGGATAACGGAAGAATCTAAAAGTTCTCGCCATCTCCGAGGACCACATCTAGCTAAATTGGAGCTGATTAGGCGTTTACGAAGTCAAGGTTGTAACGATGAGTACAAACTGGGTAAGAAACCATATGATATCTGGGAAGCCTGGAGAATGCCCTTAATACCCAAGTGCTATATTTGTTATTTGAGATCTACACTGGATAGAGTCATGTTTGGGAAGCAGATGTCTTCATAGCCTGAAAATATTTGCTAATGAATGGATCACTTATAAAATTAGTCCTTTATCATATATTCATCTTGGCTTAACATTAACTTATCTCCCTGTTCCATCAGAGTCTTTGTCAGGCATTCTGTTGCTGACCCAACAATAAAGTCAAAATCAGCTGGTTGCGGTGGCTCACACCTGTAATCCCAGCACTTTGAGAGGCTGTTGTGGGTGGATTGCTTGAGCTCAGGAGTTGGAGATCAGCTGGGGCAACATAGTGAAACCCCGTCTACAAAAAATACAAAAAAATTAGTTGAGCATAGTGGTGCACATCTGTAGTTTTAGCTACTCAGGAGGCTGAGGCAGGAGAATCTCTTGAGCCCAGGAGGCAGAGGTTATAGTGATCCGAGATGGCGCCTTCACTCCAGCCTGGGTGACACAGCCAGAAATTGTCTCAAAAATTTAGTTACAAAAAATAAAAAATGAAAAAACCTGACTGGGTGCAGTGGCTCACACCTGTAATTCTAGCACATTGGGAGGCCAAGGTGGGCGGAACACTTCAGCTCAGGAGTTCGAGACCAGCCTGGGCAACATGGCCGTAACCCTGTTTCTGCTAAAAATACAAAAAATTGGCTGGGCGCAGTGGCTCATGCCTGTAATCCCAGCACTTTGGGAGGCCGAGGTGAGTGGATCACCTGAGGTCGGGTGTTCAAGACCTGCCTGGCCAACTTGGTGAAACACTGTCTGTACTAAAAGTACAAAAAATTAGCCAGGCGCGGTGGCACACGCCTGTAGTTACAGCTACTTGGGAGGCTGAGGCAGGAGAATTGCTTGAACCTGGGAGGTGGAGGTTGTGAGCTGAGATCGTGCTGCTGCGCTCCAGCCTGGGTGACAGTGAGAGTCCGTCTCAAAAAACAAACAAAAAACCAAAAAGTTATCTGGGCGTGTTGGCGTGTGCCTGTGTCCCAGCTACTTGGGAGGTTGAGACACGAGAATCGCTTGAACCAAGAGATGGAGGTTGCAGTTAGCCAAGATCGTGCCACTGCACTCTGGCTTCAGCCTAGGTGACACAGCGAGACTCTGTCTTAAAAAAAAAAAAAAAAAATTAAAAACCCTCAAAAACAATAAAGTCAAAATCAATTTCAAAGTAAAATTGCCAGTTTTGGAAAAGTTTCATGAAGTGGATGAAAGGTTTCTTAAAAATCTGCTCGAAGCACTCGAAAAACTATTGACAAAAGAATATTTGGTGGAATTAGCAATTTGTAACTGAAGAGAAAATTTACTTGGATAATGACAAGATAGTGGAAAAGAATGACGTGGATAGTAAAGCATTGAGAGAATCCTTCAGGAAATTTGATGAAGCCTTTAGATCTTTTTATAAAATGATTCTTTATGATCTTATTGCTCAATAAGTAAAGGATGTCGTCATCGTACTAGTTCACAATTTTGCTGGAAAAATTACCACGTCCCTAAAGGAAAGCAGTAATTCTTTGCTCATACTATGACTTTGCTTACGGGTTTTTATTTTATAATTATTTTTTTTGAGACAGTGTCTCCCTTTGTTGCCCAGGTCCCAGGTTGGAGTGTAGTGGTGCAGTCTCCACTCACTGCAACCTCTGCCTCCTGGGTTCAAGTGATTCTCCTGCCTCAGCCTCCCAAGTAGCTGGAACTACAGGCAGGCGTCATCACATCTGGCTAATTTTTGTATTTTCAGTAGAGATGGGGTTTTGCCATGTTGCCCAGGCTAGTCTCAAACACCTGGCCTCAAGTGATCTCCCCACCTTGGCCACCCAAAGTGCTGGGATTACAGGCGTGAGCAACTGCACCTGGCCTAGCTTACAGTTTTGTTTTTTTTTTTTTGAGATGGAGTCTGTCTCTGTTGCCCAGGCTGGGGTGCAGTGGTGCAGTCTGGGCTCACTGCAACTTCCGCCTCCTGGGTTCAAGCAATTCTCCTGCCTCAGCCTCCCAAGTAGCTGGGATTACAGGTGCGTACCACCACACCCAGCTAATTTTATATTTTTTAGTCGAGATGAGTTTCTCCATGTTGGCCAGGCTGGTCTCGATGATCTGCCCTCAGGTGATCCTGACCTCAGGTGATTTGCCCGCCTTGGCCTCCCAAAGTGCTGGGATTACAGGCATGAGCCACTGCACCCAGCCTATTTTATAATCTTTAATTTAAATTTTGAATGGAGTCTTGCTCTGTTGCCCAGGCTGGAATACAGTGGCATGATCTTGGCTCACTGCAGTCTCCACCTTCTGGGTTCAAGTGATCCTTTGCCTTATCCTCTCGAGCAGCTGGGATTACAAGCATGCACTATCACACTTGGCCAATTTTTGTACTTTTAGTAGAGATGGGGTTTCACTATGTTGCCAGGCTGGTCTTGAACTCCTGACTTCAAGGGATTGCCTGCCTTGGTCTTCCAAAGTGTGGGATTACAGGTGTGAGCCACTGCATCCAGCCCATTTTTTTATTGTTTAAAGACTAGTTAGGTGCAGTGGTGAAAAGGGGGAAAGAGTAGGACAGTGAGTTCAGTCTGTAACTGAACAAGCAGTTGAGATAACCCACTATCTTGGGACCAGCCTCAAGCAAAATTTTGTTTTAATTGAGTGTTTTCAAATTAGATTATCACTTAAATAGAAAATGCTTCTGTTCATGAGTAATAAAGTGATTTTGTTTCCCGTCGCCCAGGTGATCCAGAAGAATTAATGTTCCAATATTTTAAAAAGTTTGGCGATAAACCTTGTTGTTTTACAGACCTTAAGGTGTTTGTTGACCTCTTACCTGCTACACAGTGTACAAAAGTAAGTACTATACAGTTTAGAAGTTTGTTGGGTGCCTCTATTTGTTGAAACACAGAGTTTAAATGTTTGGGTTTCTTTTCTAAAATGTGTGGAGCTGATAATCATGAGATACAATGATAACTGCCCTGTCAAGCTGAGTACTCTGTGTGTTACAACATTGAAGGCATAATTTCTGGTTAAGTCACAATGGAAATAAAGCCCTAACAGATGGTGGATTCTCCTTTTTTTGACTGTTTTATTTTGAGATAATTAAGGATTTACATGTAGTTGGAAGAAATAACACATCTCATATATCTTTTATCTGTTTTGTCCCAATGGCAACATCTTGCACAATTATAGTGTAATATAATTAGGAAATTGACATTCCTCTCTTCTCTTGAACTTATTCAGTTTTTGCCAGTTTTGCATGCACTGATTTTATGTGTTTGGGTGTTATGTGTGGATTTAGTGCAGTATGTGGTACATATGGGTGTGTGTGACTACTACCATAGTCAAGATACAGAACAAGCTGGGCGCGGTGGCTCAAGCCTGTAATCCCAGCACTTTGGGAGGCCGAGATGGGTGGATCACGAGGTCGGGAGATGGAGACCATCCTGGCTAACACGGTGAAACCCCGTCTCTACTAAAAAATACAAAAAACTAGCCGGGTGAGGTGGCGGGCGCCTGTAGTCCCAGCTACTCGGGAGGCTGAGGCAGGAGAATGGCGTGAACCCAGGAGGCGGAGCTTGCAGTGAGCCGAGATCTGGCCACTGCACTCCAGCCTGGGTGACAGCAAAATACGCTGCCACCAAAAAAAAAAAAAAAAAAAAAAAAAAGATACAGAACAGTCCCACCACCACCAGAATCCCACATGCTACCATTTAATAACAATAGCCACCCCCCCATCTCTATCTCTGGGCAGCTACTATGTTTTCTGTCTTTATAATTTTGTCATTTTATGAATATGAAGTACAACCAGGTACGGTGGCACGTGCCTGTAGTCCCCAGCTATTTGGGAGACTGAGGCAGCAGGATTGCTTGAGCATAGGAGTTTGAGGCTGCAGTGAGCTGTAATCATGCCACTGCACTCCATCCTGAGCGACAGAGTGAGACTCTGTCTCTTAAAAAAAGAAAAAAAGAGGCTGGGTGCAGTGGCTTACGCCTGTAATCCCAGCACTTTGGGAGGCTGAGGTGTGTGGATCACCTGAGGTCAGGAGTTCGAGACCAGCCTGGCCAATAATGGCGAAACCTTCTCTCTACTAAAAATACAAAAAATTAGCCAGGTGTGGTGATGAGCACCTGTAGACCCAGCTACTTGGGAGGCTGAGGCAGGAGAATTGCTTGAACCCAGAAGGCGGAGGTTGCAGTGATCTGAGATCACAGCAACCACATGGTTGACTCTCCAGGAATTTATGCTGAGTGAAATAAGCCAATCTCAGAAGTTACTCATAGTATGATTCCGTTTATTTAATTTTTTTTTTTTTTTTTGGGACAGGGTCTCACTCTGTGACCCAGGCTCCTTGCAACCTCCACCTCCTGGGTTCCAATGATTCTCATGCCTCAGCCTCCTGAGTAGCTGGGACTACAGGCACATGCCACCATGCCCGGCTAATTTTTGTATTTTTAGTTAGAGACAGGGTTTTGCCATGTTTGCCAGGCTGGTCTCAAACTCCCGACCTCAAGTGGTCCACCCGCCTCAGCCTTTCAAATTGCTGATAGTACAGGTGTGAGCCAGTGTGCCTGGATTTTTTTTTTTTTTTAACTTTTGAGAATTGGGCAACACTTTATTCTATAAAATAGAACAAGTGTTCCCTACTGTTGAGTTTGCAGAGTTCTTTATATATCCTAGATACAAGTTCTTTGTCGGATATGTGGTTTCAAATGTATTCATCATCTTCATGAAATTCTGCAGTACAAAGTTTGCATTTTGAAGTCTAGTGGGCTCTCCTTTTAATGTCTTCTTTGTTTCTTTGTTTCTTTTTTTTTTTTCTTGAGACTGATTCTTGCTCTCACTCTGTCGTCCAGGGTGGAGTGTTGTGGCACAATCTCTGCTCACTGCAACCTCTGCCTCCTGGTTCAAGGGATTCTCCTGCCTCAGCCTTCCAAGTAGCTGGGATTACTGGTGTGCTACCATGCCTGGATGATTTTTGTATTTTTGGTAGAGATGGGGTTTCACCATGTTGGCCAGGCTGGGAAGGTTGGAAGTCTTTCTGTGACAGGGCTGCCACCATCCGTTCTCCAGAAAACTTTCTGTTGTCCCCATGTGGAATGGATGAAGTGCACTGGAAGCACAGTAGATATACTTAGAGTATTTTTTTAGTGACCACATTTTTAGTCCATGAAGGTTCAATACTTTGGCAGACCTGGGGTTACACATTTGGGGCAGATAGAGCAGTGTATTCCCCAACTGATAAGTAACCAGTGGTCTCAGGTTCTGAAATGACTGCTGCCATTCACATTGGTTTAGTAAAGCTCTGTTTGAGTTGCTGTGGTTATAGGGCTCAGGCCAAGCCTGGAAGTTTCTGGATAAATTGTAACACATTCGGAAAGGAAAGTTATGGGTTATAGGAGGATTTAAAAGCATGTAAGAGGGAAAAATGGTTGAGTGGAGGAGAGGTTTGGTCTGTCAAGGACAGAGTGATACTGCCGTTCACTTATTTGAAAAGCTGTATTTAGAAGAGGGAGGAGAACAGGGACCAGCAAGAAGTTCTACAGGGAGCTCAGAATTTGACTCACTGAGAAAAAGATCTTTCTTAGTAGTGAGAATTCTCTCGAATACTGTGTGGGAGCTTCATGTTACTGGAGGGATTGAAGTGGAATGTAGATAAACCATGTGGGAGGGATTCATTCAGTAAGTGTCGAGCATATTGTGTGCTAAGCCCTAAGATAAGGAATAACTGATCTTGTCTTATAGTGCTTATTGTCTTGCTAGTTGAAGCATCAAATGGTGGGGCTGCATTAGAGGAACACTTGCTGCTTTTAGCTGAGATTCATAAAGGTTTGCTACCATGAATCTAGTACCAGTAACCTTTTCTGTACAGCTCTACTTCATTGGTATGTTTGGGAATCTTAGGTCATCTCATGTGATCCCACATAGTAAGAGTCATCTATTCAGATGACCCTTACTAGAATGCTAGCAGTGATAAGCTCTAGTCACTATTCTGTGAGAATAAGGATTTAAAGCTGTTACATTGAGTTTATAGTCCTAGTCTATGTAAATTTTACTTGAGAGAGGTAATTTTGCTGCCACTTTTTGACTGTAGGATGACTTCAGTAGGTAAATATCCTGTCACTCAGCAAGTATGTTTGTCAGAGGATTACGAACTGTCCAAGTCAAGCTGAGAATTGTTGTCCTAATGAATTATGAACCAAATCTTTTTGAAGTCTGACTAGCCCCTAAGAGTGAGCCAGTGAGTTCAGTTATCCTGAAGTGGCTCACCCTGGGTATGTTGTAATCTTTGTTTCCTTTGCTTTAGGGTTTTAGCTAAACAATAAAATGATTCTAGTTTTTTGTTTTCTGTTTTTTGTTTTTTTTTTTTTTTGAGACGGAGTCTCGCTCTGTTGCCCAGGATGGAGTGCAGTGGCATGATCTTGGCTCACTGCAACCTCCACCTCCTGGGCTCAAGTGATTCTCCTGCCTCAGCCTCCCCAGTAACTGGAATTATAGGTGTCCGTCACCATGCCTGGCTAATTTTTTTTTTTTTTTTTTTTTTTTGAGACAGTTTAGCTCTTGTCACCCAGGCTGGAGTGCAATGGCGCAATCTTAACTCACTGTAACCTCCGCCTCCTGAGTTCCAGTGATTCTCCTGCCTCAGCCTCCTGAGTGACTGGGATTACAGGCGCCTGCCATCATGTCCAGCTAATTTTTTTGGTATTTTTAGTAGAGATGGAGTTTCATCATGTTGGCCAGGCTGGTCTTGAACTCCTGGCCTCAAGTGATTTGCCTGCCTTGGCCTCCCAAAGTGCAGGGATTACAGACCTGAGCCACTGCACCCAGCCTAATTTTTGTGTTTTTAGTAGTGATGGGGTTTCACCATGTTGGCCAGACTGGTCTCGAACTCTTGACCTCAAGTGATCCACCCACCTTGGCCTCCCAAAGTGTTGGGATTACAGGCCCGAGCCACCGCACTCAACTGCTTCTAGTTTTTATTTTTTATTTTATTTTATTTTTTGAGACGAGTTTCGCTCTTGTTGCCCAGGCTAGGGTGCAATGGTGCCATCTCGGCTCACTGCAAGCTCTGCCTCCCAGGTTCAAGCAGTTCTCCTGCCTAAGCTGCCCGAGTAGCTGGGATTACAGGCATGCACCACCATGCCTGGCTAATTTTGTATTTTTAGTAGAGACGGGGTTTCTCCATGTTGGTGAGGCTGGTCTCGAACGCCCGACCTCAAGTGATCCACCCGCCTCAGCCTCCCAATGCTGGGATTACAGGCGTGAGCCGCTGTGCCTGGCCTCAGCGATTCTAGTTTTAAAGGAAATTTTTTACACAGCAGTAAAACTGTACAGACTAAAGAATGAGCAGATTGTTTTGTAACAAAACCTTGTCAGGAAGATTTTTCTTTAGCATCCACTAAAGAAGGCCGCAGTAAACCTAACTAATACATAAAATGGCTTGCAAGGTTAGAAGAACTGGCAGTAGAAACTATACAAGCATTTAATCAAAAACATGAAAATAATGGCTAGGCATGGTGGCTCATGTCTGCAATCCCAGCACTTTGGGAGGCTGAGACAGGCGACTTCAGTTCAGGAGTTTGAGACCAGCCTGGCCAACATGGCAAAGCCCCGTGGCTACTAAAAATACAAAAATTAGCCGGGTGTGGTGGTGCATGCCTGTAGTCCCAGCTACTCTGATGGCTGAAGCAAGAGAATCGCTTGAACCCGGGAGGTGGAGGTTGCAGTGAGCTAGGATTGCACCACTGTACTCCAGTCTGGGCAACAGAGTGAGACTCTGTCTCAAAAACAACAACAAAAACATGAAAATCAGTGCTGCAGTTTGTTAAAAGTATGGAATATATATATCTGATCATAATGATTAAAATTAATATAATTATAGGTAAATTGAAGCAAATTCATTACAGATGTGAAACTGCAGGATGAGTGGGATTTTGTTTTTTTTTTTTCATTTGTATCAAAAAATTACATGTATTGGAGCTAGGCGCAGTGGCACGCACCTATCATCACAGCTACTCAGGAGGCTGAAGCAGGAGGATTGCTTGAGCCCAGGAATTTGAGTCCAGCCTGGACAACATAGTGAGACCCCTTCCCAAAAAAGGAAAAAGAAATACATGTGCTGTATACGATTGAAAAAGTCAGATAGTATCACAAGGCTTGTGTTGAGAGGCAGTAGTCACTCTTTTTGTTCCAGCTCAACAGATGCAAATCACTTTTAACTAAATTCTTTTGTTGTTTTCCTCCATATTTTGAGATTATTTTCATATTTCCTCCATATTTCTATATTATTTCAATTTATTTTTATAGTTATAGTCTTAAACTATTGGTGCCCTTCTGTGGAAGGTGATTAGTTAGTTGTTTATAACAAATCAATTGCCCCCTTATATACTTAGGATAAAACATAAGATTCTGTTCTCTCTACCCTTCTCTTCACCAATGTAAGAAATGCTTTCCATTCCGAAATGCCTGTTTGCTACTATCTGTTTAGGAACTTACATATTTGTCTGATAGCATTCTGGGATATGGTTGGGAGTACGGGGTGGGAGCCTGAAATTATCACTGAATAAGCAAATTTCACTTTATTCCCCTGTTTTCAGCTATGACTGCTGTCTCTGACTCTTTCTCTGGTTCAGCACATTATGGCTATAAAACCCAGGCTATTCTACTCACACTTAGAAATTCCGTCTGTGGACTTTGGGAGGGGCCTAACTTCTTAGAAATTTATATATTCGGCCGGGCGCGGTGGCTCAAGCCTGTAATCCCAGCACTTTGGGAGGCCGAGACGGGCGGATCACGAGGTGAAGAGATCGAGACCATCCTGGCTAACACGGTGAAACCCCGTCTCTACTAAAAAATACAAAAATCTAGCCGGGCGTGGTGGCGGCGCCTGTGGTCCCAGCTACTCGGGAGGCTGAGGCAGGAGAATGGCGTGAACCCGGGAGGCGGAGCTTGCAGTGAGCTGAGATCCAGCCACTGCACTCCAGCCTGGGCGACAGAGCGAGACTCCGTCTCAAAAAAAAAAAAAGAAATTTATATATTCTATTTTAGTCCCATCAGCACTTTAGCCTTTAGGGACACCTGGTGCCCTTAGTCTCTGAGTCTTCCAAGATTCTGTGACTACAGTGCGCTTCCTGCTTATTGGGGTCTGCCTCATTGCGTACTGTTAGATTTCGGTGTTCTTGGCAACATAAGTTATTTCTTACCAACTGTTCTTGTATCTTTTGAATCTTGATGATTTTTATTTGCTGTTGTCTCTCATTTCTTCACATATTCTTTTTTTCTTCTCTTTTTTGAGACAGGGTCTCACTGTGTCACCCAGGCTGGAGTGTAATGGTGGGACGATGGCTCACTGCAGGTTCAAACTCCTGGGCTCAAGCCATCCTCCTGCCTCAGCCTCTTGAGTAGCTGGAACTACAGGCGTGCACCACTATGCCTGGCTATGTGTTTTTTTATTTTATATTTTTAGTAGAGATGAGATCTCACTATGTGCCCAGGCTGATCTTGAACTCTTGAGCTCAAGTGATTCTCCCATCTCTGCCTCGCAAAGTGCTGGGCTTGTAGGTGTGAGCCACAGCTCCCGGCCTCTTCACACATTCTTGATCTTTGTGGGTTTATTCTTTTTTTTTTTTTTTTTTTAATATGGAGTTTCACTCTTGTTGCCCAGGCTGGAGTGCAGTGGCGCAATCTTGGCTCACTGCAACCACCGCCTCCTGGGTTCAAGCGATTCTCCTTCCTGCCTCAGCATCCTGAGTAGTGGGGATTACAGGTGTGCGCCACCATGCCTGGCTAATTGTTTTGTGTATTTTTAGTAGAGATGAGGTTTCATCATGTTGGCCCAGCTGGTCTTGAACTCCTGGCCTGAAGTGATCTGCCCGTCTTCTCCTTCTAAAGTGCTGTGATTACAGACCTGAGCCACTGCGCCCGACCTCTTCTTTTTATTTCTTACTGGCATCTTAATAGGATTTTAGAATTGAGAGGAAATAAGCATGTGTTTAATAAATAAATGACTAGAACTGGTATGTGGGTTTTATTTTGTAATTTTAATCCAAATTTAAAGGATGAAAAACATTTTAAGGCAAGATGTAACCATTGGGAGAAAACTGGATGAATGGTATATGGGATCTCTCTGTTATTTCTCATAGCTGAGCATGAATCTATAATTATAATAAGTTCAATTAAGAAAAATGTAGGGTCACTGACATGAGGTAAACAGTGTCTTTCCATGTATAACCTTTCCTTTCAGAATTTATCAGCATAATTACAGATTAAAATTTTAAAAATTTTTTGGTAATCTGCTCTTTTCTATAGTCTTCCTAATGTTTTCATTGCTGTAATATATATTATGTTAATATGCTATAAGTTGTGGAACATTTTCAGAATTATAAAAATCTTTCACTGCCTGTAGTACATGGTATTGACGAATACTTTTGGCCAGTAATGAATGAGTGTGCCAGTTTCATTGGAGCTTCACCAGTGTTGTGTGCTGTCACAGATTTTTTTCGTTTTAGCTATTTTGGTAGATAGAAAATGGTGTATGAAAGGAATTTTAGTTTTTGGTTTTTTTTCTTGATGTCTTTTTCTAGACCATTTCAATTTCTGTTAATTATGGCCTACTGAAGACTAGTTGTGTTTTGAGACCTTTGCTCCTTTTTTCCCCACTTTGCAGTTTATTAATCAGTTACTTGGAGTTGTTCCTTTGTCGACACCAACAGAGGATAAGCTGGCACTGCCTGCTGACATCAGAGCTCTGCAGCAACATTTGTGTGTGGTGCAGCTGACGAGGTTACTTGGCTTGTACCACACCATGGATAAAAATCAGAAATTGAGTGTGGTCAGAGAATTGATGTTAAGGTACCAGCATGGACTGGAATTTGGTGAGCAACCATTCAAAATGTGCAGTAGTTCCCTGATCTACACTAAGACTTAGAAGTCAGTTTTTAAAACACCTGTAGCACCCTGTTTTAATGAGTTTTGTAAGGAGACTATTTTGTCTGGGAAGACCATCTAAGTAAAATGATGTAAAGCCTTTCTTAAGCCTGGAGTTTTAAATAATTTGGATTGGCTTTCAGTTGTCTATGTTCTTGATCTGATGAGCTAACTTTTTATTAGATTGGGGCTCATATAGATTGCATAGTTTATGGTAATTATCACATTTTCTGCTTGTAGGCCTAAGTATTCTTAATATACAGACTGTATATTAAGTGAACAAAAGGAATATTGTAAATTGTAAGATAAATATTTAGTTTAGAAATAGATGATCTTCAGATAGGTGTGGCTTTTGCTAGATATATGTGATAGACACATAATTGTCTGACTATAAGATGTCAGTATTTATCTGTAATCTAAAGAATTAGATGAAGTCAGGAGCATATTGTGAATTTAGTTATACATGGCACTTGGCTTATGTTCTTTTCTTCACTTCAACCTCCTTCAAATCTTCCTTTTCTCCCTTTGGGACCATCATAGATACCACCTCTGCTCTGGAACCCTACCTTCTGTTCCAGCTGAGTGTGGTTTCACTTTCTTTTGAACCCTTTGATTCATGGTTCATATTTTTCTCCTGATACTTATCTTGTTCTTAATTTTCTTTTACTTTTCCTCTACTCCCTCCTGTCACTTTCCTGCTTTTAAAAACTCCTATGGGGTCAGTAATAGTTGAACAAATATTAAAATAGATATGATTTTTTCCCCCGTAGGGAAAACCTGTTTGAAAACAGAATTGCAATTTTCTGACTATTACTGTCTCCTTGCTGTCCATGTGCTTATTGATGTATGGAGGGAAACAGGTAAGTAGCAGTGATTTCAGTTCAACTTTACTTTTTGCTTTTATTGATTATAAGTCCTGCATTCTTTTGTTAGACTAATTATACAATCCACAAATTTTATTTATGCTTTTAGGTTCTCCTTTTCTTGATATTTCTAGGGTGCTTCCAGAAAAACCTGTTTTGGCCAGGTGCGATGGCTCCTGCCTGTAATCCTAGCACTTTGGGAGGCTGAGGTGGGTGGATCACCTCAGATCAGGAGTTCAAGACTAGCCTGGCCAACATGACGAAACTTCATCTCTACTAAAAATACAAAAATTAGCCGGGCATTTTGGCGCATGCCTGTAGTCCCTGCTACTTGGGAGGATGAGGCAGGAGAATTGCTTGAGCTTGGGAAGCGGAGGTTGCAGTGAGCCGAGACCGTGCCACTGCACTCCAGCCTGGGCAACAGAGCAAGATATCGTCTCACAATAACAACAACAACAACAACAACAAAAACTGTCTCCAATTTATCCCCTTGTAACCAGGATAATGTTAAATGAATGGATATCTGTTCTGTTTTTAAGTGTTTGTGAATAATAAGTAGTGACTATAAAAAAAATACTATGACAAAGCTACAAAAATTAAAATACAATGAAACTGAGTAAGAAATACATGCACAGGCCTATGGAACAGAATATCTTTTATTCACTTCAAAAAATTTTATATACAGAAAAATGCATTCTTTCTGGAATATAGTCTGTCTCATTTAGGATAAAAATATAAGACGTGGTAAAGGAAGCATTGTGAGTGATTGGGGAAGAAAAGGATGATTCAGCAAATGGTATTGGGTTACCTTTTCTTTAGGTCCCACACCCTGACATATTCTCTTATTAGCAGTTTTGGAGAAAAAATAACTTTAGGTGCTTATTGCATATTATTCATGAGAATTAAACTATAGAAGAAACAAAGGGCTGAAGAGGCAATGGTAAGCAAGATAAACACAACCTCTGCCCTCATGGATCATTTCACAGAGCTCTCAGTTTTGCTTGTTGTTGAGATGGAGTTTTGCTCTTGTTGCCCAGGCTGGAGTGCAGTGGCATGATCTCAGCTCACTGCAACCTCCGCCTCCTGGGTTCAAGCGATTCTCATGCCTTAGCCTCAGAATAGCTGGGATTACAGGCATGTGCCACCACGCCCGGCTAGTTACTGTTTTGTTTGTTTGTTTTTTGTTTTTTTTTTTGAGATGGAGTCTCACTCTGTCACCCAGGCTGGAGTGCCGTGGTGCCATCTCAGCTCACTGCAAGCTCTGCCGCCTGGGGTCATGCCATTCTCTTGCCTCAGCCTCCCAAGTAGCTGGGACTACAGGTGCCCGCCACCACGCCTGGCTAATTTTTTGTATTTTTAGTAGAGAGGGGATTTCACCGTGTTAGCCAGGATGGTCTTGATCTCCTGACCTCGTGATCTGCCCACGTTGGCCTCCCAAAGTGCTGGGATTACAGGCGTGAGCCACCGCGCCCGGCCAGGTTTTGTATTTTAAATAGAGACGAGGTTTTGCCATGTTGGCCAGGCTGGTCTCAAACTCCTGACCTCAGGTGATCCACCCACCTCAGCCTCCCAGAGTGCTTGGATTCAGGCGTGAGCCACCGCACCCGGCCTTATCATGCCATTCTTAAAATCCTTCAGACCTCAGGAAGCTGAGGCTTGAGCCCAGTAGTTCAAGGCTGCAGTGAGCTATGATCACACCATTACACTCCAGCCTGGGTGACAGAGCAGGACCCTGTCTCTAAAAAATTTAAAAAGAAAAAAAATCCTTCAGAGGTACCCTGTTTTCCTGAAGATAAACGTCAAGTGTTTTAGGATATTTTATAATGCTATTTATAATCTGGCCTGTGTCCACATCTCCAGATTCTTAGGTATTTGTGGTCTTGAATCTGCTTTAAAATTTTTTTGCAACTATCACTTAACATCATGTTGCCTGTCTTTGAAATAACTTTCTTACCTCCCTCATCTAACTTTTACTCAAATGGTGCCTTTAACAAAGCCTGTCTTGATTTAACTCCTTCACCACTGGGGATTTTATGCTCCTCTGAACTTCTGTAGAACATTGTATGTAACCATATGGTAGTGTGTTTTTTTTTTTTCAGTTTGTTTTGAGATGGAGTCTCGCTCTGTTGCCCAGGCTGGAATGTAATGGCACGATGTTGGCTCACCGCAACATCGTCCTCCCGGGTTCAAGCGATTCTCCTGTCTCAGCCGCCCAAGTAGCTGTGATTATAGCACGTGCCACTATGCCTGGGTAATTTTTGTTTTTGTTTTTTGTTTTTGAGACAAAATCTCGCTCTGTTACCAGGCTGGAGTGCAGTGGCGCAATCTTGACTCACTGCAACCTCTCCCTCCTGGGTTCAGGTGATTCTCCTGCCTCAGCCTCCCGAGTAGCTGGGACTACAGGCGCCCGCCGCCACACCCGGCTAATTTTTTGTATTTTTAGCAGAGACGGAGTTTCACCATGTTGGCCAGGATGGCCTCCATCTCTTGACCTCGTGATCCACCCACCTTGGCCTCCCAAAGTGCTGGAATTACAGGCGTGAGCCACTGCGCCCAGCCTGATTTTTGTATTTTTTAGTAGAGTTGGGGTTTCACCATGTTACTCAGACTGGTCTCAAACTCCTAATCTCCGGTGATCTGTCCGCCTCGGCCTCCTAAAATGCTGGGATTACAGGCGTGAGCCACCGAGCCCGGCCCATGTTACTTGTTACACTGTATTGTACCAAGGATGACAGTGAAATCCTTGTCGTCAGGTAACTTGTTATTTGAGCCCCTAGATTCATGAGGCTGCATAGGGCAGCAAAAGTAATTTTTACGTGAAAACATTAATGAACTGCTCACGTAATTTGATCCCCACACAGATAGCCTTTCTTACTTATGCCTAGCATCTGTTCTCACCAATAGTGACTATGGCTTTGCTAATCTCATATATTAATATTTTGAGCAAGATACGTGGCCATATGATAATAGTAACAACTAACAGTTGATTAGCAGGCATGTGAAAGTACTTTACACAAATTAAACAATTTTATTTTATTTTAGTTTATTTTTTTGAGATGAAGTCTTGCTCTGTCGCCTGGGCTGGAGTGCAATGGTGCAATCTTGGGTTACTGCAGCCTCCGCCTCCCAGGTTCAAGCGATTCTCCTGCCTCAGCCTCCTGACTAGCTGGGATGACAGGCGCACACCACCACACCTGGCTAATTATTGCATTTTTAGTAGAAACAGGGTTTCACCATGTTGGACAGGTTGGTCTTGGACTCCTGACGTCGTGATCCGTCTGCCTCGGCCTCCCAAAGTGCTGGGATTACATGCATGAGCCACTGCGCCCGGCCAATTTAAACATTTTAATAATATAGTTACTATCACAGTTTTATAGATGAGAGAAGTGGAGGGCAGAGAGAAGAAAGGTAAAGTGTCCAAAATCCTGCAGTGCAGACAAATACATGGGAATCATTTGCAAAATGAAATTGTAGATCTTGTAAAGATGTAGGGCTTCTTAAAGTCAGTGAAAGGGATGATGAAGTACTCCAATCACAGTCATAATCATTGTTCAAGGTGCACCTGGCAGAACTTAGAAATCAATAGAAAGTTGATGAGGGCATTTAAAGAGATTCATTTGAATTCAAAAGGATTGAGTGCTTCAGGAAGTTGATGTTCTCGAATATTTTTTTCTGAAAGGCTTTTTTTTTTGAGACAGAGTTTCACACTGTAATCCAGGCTGGAGTGCAGTGGCACCATAGTAGCGCTCTGTAGCCTCAACCTCCTGGGCTCAAGGGATCCTCCCACTTCAGCCTCCTGGGTAACTGGGAGTATAGGCACATGCCACCATGCCTGACTAGTTAATTTTAAATGTTTTTAAAATTATTTTTTATTTATTATTAAATTTTATTTTTATTTTGAGATGGAGTCTTACTCTGTCACCCAGGCTGGAGTGCTGTGGTGTGATCTCGGCTCACTGCAACCTGTGTCTCCTGGGTTCCATCATTTCTCCTGCCTCAGCCTCCTGAGTAGTTGGAATTATCCACCACGCCTGGCTAATTTTTGTATTTTTAGTAGAGAAGAGGTTTTACCATGTTGGCCAGGCTGGTCTTGAATTCCTGACCTGAGGTGATCCGCTTCCCTGGCCTCCCAGAGTCCTGGGATTACAGGTATGAGCCACTGCGCCCAGCCAGTTTTTGTATTTTTTGTAGAGATGGGGTTTTGCCATGTTTCCCAGGCTGGTTTGAAACTCCTGGGCTCAAGCCATCTCCCTGCCTTGTCCTCCCAAACTGTACTGTGCCCGGCCTATCTTTCTTTTCTTTTGGAAAACAGCATATAGAATATTACCTTAAAATCTTACTGTATGGTGCTTTCATTTTTGCTGTTACTGACTGTAAAAGTAGCTTGTTCAAATTTTGGATAGCAGTTTACTTAAAATCTCACTTTTTTGGACCTCAAAAGCACTCTATCACTTTTGCATTTTTTTCTTTCTTTTCTTTTCTATTCTTGAGACAAAGTTGCACTCTGCTGCCAAGGTTGGAGTGCAGTGGCATGATCACAGCTCATTGCAGCCTCAACTTCCTAGGGTGAAGCAGTCCTCCCAACCTCAGCCTCCTGAGTAGCTGGAACCATAGGCAGTGTGCACCACCACATCTGGCTAATTTTTTCAAAAATGTTTTTAGTAGAGATGAGGTCTAGCTGTATTGTTCAGGCTGGTCTCAAACTTGTGGGCTCAAGTGATCCTCCCACCTCAGCTTCCCAAAGTGCTGGGAATACAGGCATGAGCCACCATGTCCAGCTAACATTTTTTTGTGTGTTTTTCTTCTCTCTCTCTCTTTGTGCATATTTTAAGAGTTGAGATCAACTCTTTGTACTAACTTGAATTTTCTCTCTCTGTGTGTGTTTTACTGAACATTCTTGCACAAACATTTTCCTTTGTAATTAAAAAGTCTTCATTACTGTCAAGTAGTTATATGATGTTTCCATGTGTGGAAGTTACCATAATTTACCTAATCAACCTCCCATCATTATATCACTAGATAGCACGATAACTATTTTTATATATAAAGCTTTATCTGTATTTCATAGTATTTTCTTTAGATGGATTCTAAAGAATAAGTTACTTAATCTTGAAACCTACAGATACATGTACCTTTTGAAATTTCATAGACCAAAAAAAAAAAAATTTTTAGTTTGATTATTAATGAGTAAATATTTTCAAACATCCTATTTGCCATTCTGTTAGTAGAGTTACATATGGAAGAAAAATGATGTCTATAGAGAACATCTGTCTGGGGTTTCATAAAGGAAATCCTGCAGGGGCAAGATGCTGAGCTCCAGTTTTCCTTCAAAGTCCATGTCTTCCCAGAATCTGAGACTCTGTAACCTCCCCCCATAAGACCTGGCCACTTAAAATCCGCATCATTTTTGCCACGGGCATGTTTAAGAATAGACTTAACTATTAAGGGACTCTCTATTTAGGCGAAATTCTCTATTTTGGTTATAGATGTATATCTAAAATTTGTTCTCTGTCATATAACTTCATTTATAGAGTGGGGGTGATGATGTCAATAAGGTTTTGTTTTTTGTTTTTGGGAAGCTTTCATTTGCTGTCAAGATCAGTGGATAATATTGTATTTTGGTTCTAGGTGATGAGACTGCTGTGTGGCAGGCCCTGACTTTGCTGGAAGAGGGATTAACCCATAGCCCTTCCAATGCTCAGTTCAAATTGCTGCTTGTTCGAATCTACTGTATGCTGGGTGCATTTGAACCAGTGGTGGATCTTTACTCCAGCCTTGATGCTAAGCATATCCAGCATGATACCATTGGGTTGGTAGTATATACTCTGAATAATGAGCAGCCAGCTACACCAGTGTGGGGTATACAGGACTCTAAGTTAGATTTTAAAGTTGATCCTGACATTAAGCCTTTTTGATTAAATAATAATCTGTTATGATTCATTGCAAAGCAGAAAGATTTTTATATCTCCCAGCATTTTGTAGTAATTTGAAAATTTGCACAATTTAGAAATGTAAGAGAGTTTTCCTCAGAGATAGCAAACATATATATGTATATACACACACACATACACTTTGAACCCTTATTCTTAGCACACGTTATTTTGAAGTGTTCATTTCCGCTTTGCAGTTGAAGTTGACTCTTGTACTTTATTGACCTCAACAAAGTTTGAATTTGTATTTTGGATTTGTATTTAGACTACTCTTTATTATTATGCTATTATCACTTAATGGCATTTTCTCTGTTGTCTATGGTGCTGTTTTAAGAAGACAGCATTATGTTCTCTTAGACCTTTTATGTGCCATTAATCATCAGAGTGTAAGAAAGCCTAGTATAGAACTTTACGTCTCCCACAAAACTGAGTTAACTTTTTGCTTTTTTAAAAATTTTAACTTGTGAATTAGATCATTTCTGTGGGTGTATGTTTTAGTGTTTTCTTATGCCTAACTACTTTTTTGCCAAGTAATTTGAAGCGTAATATTTGTTACTTGAGGTAGGTAAGTAAGTATAACATGTCTTTTTTTTTTCCTTCTTTCCTTGTGATCTAGTTATCTTTTGACCCGATATGCTGAATCTCTAGGTCAGTATGCTGCTGCGTCCCAATCCTGTAACTTCGCACTCAGGTTTTTTCACTCCAACCAGAAAGATGTAAGTGAAAAACTATTTTTTAACGTGATCTTGCCTGCTGACTGCACACTGTTGAGGAGCGCGTCACCTCATGTCACAAGTACACGTGTTAAGGTGCACTATGCTGAACTAGCAAGTGCCCTTAGACCACAGCTTACTGTCCAAGGCTGGTAGGGAGAGGTAGAGAGTTATTTGTGTTTGTTAGAATGGGTGTGTTTGATAGACTTTTTGGAAAGTTGCATTTAAAACTGGTATTTAGTGAATGGGAAGTGTTATTCATCTTAGACCTGTCTTTTGATCTCTAAGAGACTTTTCCAAGGGTAAAAGAAACAGCCCATAAGCATTCATGGCCTGGGATGCCATTTAACATTCTGCAGTAGCAGCTGCTCTCCGTTACTTTTATTTAACTCTGAAATGTATGTCCATTGTGCTGTTTGCCAACAGTGAATGTACTTGTATTTTCTTAGAAAATTAAAAGGCATTCCAAGAAACTTAGGTGAATAATATGTTTTTTAAAGTAGAAATAAATAAAATAGAGCTTCTCTGTGCCATAATGAAAGGATGGGATTTGCACCATATTTTTCACTGCAAGCAGACTTGGGCTCTACTTGTTGGTTAAGCAGAAGTTTTTGTAGGGAAACCATATGGTCTGTACTCAGTCGACCAATTGTGAAAAACTGCCCAACAATGAATGTGGAGAAAAGGAATGTCTCCAGGGTGGTCACTGCCTACTTGGTTTTCACAGACTTCTAAGCCTCATCGCTTGAAGTTGGCTGTGCCAGCTATCTGCCCATAGCCTTCCATTCTCATGGTCTACCAGCAATTAAGGAACTAGCAAGGAAGCTAGTTTCTGGGATTCTTCTTGGCAAACACTCATGAGGATTTTTTTTTAAACCCTTTCGTTTTAGTATAACAGGTTGACTAATCTATCTTCCATCTAATTCTTTAAGGGTATATTGTATTAAATAGAAGCATTTCTGAACATGGGATATAGGTTTGTTTTCAGTTTATGATAATTACGTTCTGACAAGTTTCAGGGAATGGCCTAGAGGGCTGGAGTAGCAAAAGGACAGCTCGGAGCAGATGGAAAGCAGCCTCTTGTGCTTAGATAATGAGCTGTGTACCATCAGTTGGTTCTTAGTCCTGTATCCCCTCCCCAAAGTGGTCCCCCTACCCCCTCCCAGTGATTGGTATCTCCGTTCAGACCTCATTTTGTGGCACGCCTCTGATCAGGGAGAGAAGAAAATGAGTATTAGTATCTGAGCATGTTGCTCAGAAGGTGTGCTGGCCTGGCTTAGTGGTCAGAAGGTCATCTCTAGGATATTGGGTTTCTAAAATCTAGCATGGATGAAGTATAAACCTATGAGTTTTCATTGTGTGTTCAAGTATCTGTACTTGACCTCCTGTTTTCAAGAAGTTTCATTAAAAAAAAAAAATTGGATTGGTTTCCTCATCTCATTTATGCCCTCATTTCTGTATTTATAAGAGAGATTAAAGAAACATTTGATTTACTGAAGATTCCTTTTCAAAGGTTTGTTTCTCAAATAGCTTTGAGGTAGTGGGAGCAAATAAGGGATTCATTCCAGCCCAGTGGCTTTTCCTCTAGCTTTCAATCATCCAGCATTCTAGAAGAACTGTGTTACTCATGAAGATGTGGTCAATAAAGACACATTACTTTATATACATCAGACTTAGGCTTTAATTTTTTTTTCCCACAAATACTATGTCTGAAGAGTTTTTTTGAAAGAAAACTCTAAAAATAAAATTACAGAAGTATTATAATATAGGCAAAGGAGACCCCTGGGAGCAATTTAAGGGGATGTGTCATCCTCAGTGTTTTTTTTTTGTATCTTTGTTTGATGTTTTGCTGATGGTTGTGTGTGGCAAAAGTGACTAATTCATCTGAATGTATGTGATGTTGAACCTGATAAAATCATAGCATTTTATTGATCGGAGACTAAGACACTTCAAATATATTTTGATTACTGCTAAGAAGATGGAGCTTATTTAATCTGCTGAAAGGAGAAAATCTTGAGGAGTCCTAGAGGCAAAAGAAAAATATGGTACAGGCTGGGCACAGTGGCTCACGCCTGTAATCCAAGCACTGGGAGGCTGAGGCAGGTGGATCACCTGAGGTCAGGAGTTCAAGACCAGCCTGGCCAACGTGGTGAAACCCCGTCTCTACTAAAAATACAAAAATTAGCCGGGCATAGTGGCAGGTGCCTGTAATCCCAGCTACTCGGCAGGCTGAGGCAGGAGAATTGCTTGATCTGGGAGGTGGAGGTTGCAGTGAGCTGATATTGTACCATTATACTCCAGCCTGGGTGACCAGAGAGAGACTCTGCCCCCCGACCAAAAAAGAAAAACAGTACAGCTAGGAACATGTAGCTTGACCTTAATGTTGAGTGCCAGATAGAGACTGTGATGTGAGCTGTTTCCTAAAGAAATCTAAGGCTAAGAAAGATTATGATTGTAGTGTCTTACTGTGTGTGTTCAACCTTGTGCTTAGAGTATTAGAAATATCTCTCTTCAAATCCAGAGTTCTGTACTCTGCGTCTTCTATTCTTGGTAGTTTTTGGGATCCCCGGGTGCTTTTTCCTTGGGTGACTGATGCATTTCAAGTCCCACCTAGCTCTTTGACAGAACACTTTTACTTAAATGGAAAATCTAGTGTTCTGCTTAGTAACATTTTGTGCTATGGGATTGAAAGTTGTATTTGGAAGGTCTGCACAGGGATTTTCTTTCTAGAAAGGTTATTTTCTGTTGTCATCTTACTTTGGAATAGATTTTTAAAAAAATATGAGAATGAGCACTAGATTTTCATATCTTCAAAAGTCACTTATGTGTTTTTACTTCTTTAAAATTTCACTTTAAAATCTCTATTTTACACAAAAATTAGCTGGGTGTGTTGGCAAGTGCCTGTAATTCCAGCTACTTGGGAGGCTGAGTCAGGTGACTTGCTTGAATCTGGGAGGTGGAGGTCACAGTGAGCTGAGATCATGCCACTGCACTCCAGCTGTCACTTTTGGGTGACAGAGTGAGACTCTGTCTCAAAAAAAAAAAAAAAAAAAGTAAAGAAAATCAAATCTCTATTTTAAGTATTCACAAAATCATTATTCAGGGGTTTTATGTCCATATATTTCACTAATTTTTACAGTGACCAGGGTTCATTTCAGGAATCCATTCGGGATCTAAATAGCCTCATTGGTGTGTAAATTAGTAGAAATAGGTACGGACAACATACTTTGATATTCAAAAGTCTTTAAAGTGCCTGTGGCTTTCAGTTTTGCCTGCAGTTCCAGTGCGGGGTTGTTTTTTCACATAGTACTACTTCCATAGCCTTGGTCCTACTGGTTGCATCCCAGGCCCTTGTCTAGCTCTGCAGTGGTACTTTACTGCAGTGTTACAGAAGGACTATCTAAAAAAGATAAGCCAGAGAACTGTGACTACCTTCTTAGTTTGTTAAAGACTATACTCTGTTCGTTACCCCTTATTTTTCTCTTTGAAAAGCCATTGCCTTTTTTTTTTTTTTTTTTTTTAAATAAAGTGGTGTTCCACGGACCACTTAGAAATTAAAACTGCCTCTACACTTGGTAAGGCTGGGTTGCCTCCTTAAATCATAACATACTTTGGAACTGTAATTATAACTTTGATTGGAATTACTAAAGTCATATTTTCTTTTTGATTAATTGCTGAATCATGTGTTCCTAACCAGCTGTTTTTTTTTCCCCGCCCCAGCTGTAATTTCCTATTACAAGAGCTGATAGTAAACCTTGCTGTGTTTTCTAAGCCAAGGGGCCATAGGATAGGCACATGTGTTTAGAGTATCCTGGCCTCCTCTTGATAGGGTGTATCACTGTCCTTTAATCAAGCTAGAAGGTATACTCGAGCTTTTTCAGGTAGTCCTTCTTGAAACCTGCAGGATCACAAGTAATCTTTTTAATTTTCTTGTGTCCGTCCGTCTTTAATTTCTCCAGATACTGCAGGCAAACAGCTCGCCGAGGTGTCCCATGGGGGTTTAAAAGCCGCATCGAATGCAGTTGAATTAGCGCCCGTGGCGCAATCCCGCGGCCTGAAATGAACCCTGCAAGGCTGTATATCAGAGGGTATGTTGTTGACTATTGGCCTATTTTCCTACTGGGCAAATTATTCAGACGTAATGGAGATGGGGGCAGAGCTGATATAACTGAGGCTGTGTAAAAAGACTGTTTTTTCTAGAAAGGATCTTTTTTTGGGGCAGACATCAGCTTTGAGCATAATAGTTTCCTTGGTCTAAAGGGGTAATCTCCTATCTTCTGATCCTGATGGCATAGACCCACACCCATGAAATGTTCTTCCCTGAGATTTTCTTCTATTGTGCCAGAATTTCTGCTTAGAATTCTTTATCTTGCCTCTGTTCTGTAATGTTTAATCTCTGTATATGTATTAATCTACAATTAAAGCACATGTGGTGAATGTTCCCTTCACATACTTGTTTAAGGAAATTTCCAGCAGAGGTCTTATGTAATGTAGATGGACAAGAAACTTGGTTCTTGAAGTCTTTGTCCTCAGAATACATTATGACATGAATTTTTATAGGTCTTTTGTTTGGTGTCTTCTATCCTGACGTAATGCTCATATGCCCTGTGTTTCTAATACAGTATTCAGAAATAAGCAAAACCAAGGAGTAGCCTGTCTTTTTCTGAAGGAGAGTGGTTTTTATTTGGGCTGGGGGGTCAGGTGGTTCTATTTTTCTGGTGCTTTTGGAACCTTTGTATGAAACACAGTTTATCTTAGATGCAGAAAAACATGGGGTAACATCCCTTCCAGAATGGCACTAACCAAATTTTTGACTGATGCGGCAAAACAAAACCTCAGTTCCTATTGAATTGAAAGACATGATTGCTAAGAGAAGGCTTATGTGATGATGGCGGAAGCTGGTTATTACAATTAGTAATATTAGTAAAGGAGACATTTGTCTAAAGTATAAGAAGGAAGAAAAACAACATTTTAAAAAGCTAATACTCTACTTGGTGACCAAGACCTTTAAAGATTAGATTTAAAACTTAATTTTAGTTTGAGTGTTTTGTTTTGACTGGCAAGGTTTGCTTACATTGCCTGACTTGTGAACTATTTATACCAAGGTGATATCTTTCCTTCTCAGACCTCAGAATATATTATTCAAGCTTACAAATATGGTGCATTTGAGAAGATCCCAGAGTTTATCGCTTTTAGGAACAGGCTGAATAATTCTCTTCATTTTGCACAAGTCCGTACTGAACGGATGCTGTTAGACCTTCTACTTGAAGCAAATATGTAAGTATTGCATGAGAGCTCTAAAGGAGCTAAGGGATTAGATCAGTTAAGAGCCGTTAATGGGCTCATGGGTGTTATTAGCAGGCTTAAGGTAAAATATGGGGGAAAAAAGGGAGACAGACAGTGGAGAAACAGAACTTGGTACATGTCATGGGAAATGATAGAATACTGCCAGCAACATCTTGGGACCATTACAGAAGCCATTTAGGTCATGGTCATCAACACCTGGTCCCTATTGTGCTTACAAAGGTTCCTCCTTCCCTACAAATCAAGAGATTTCAGGAATTAATGCTGATCCCCTTTGTTTTGTGTGGGCTTCCAGAAGCCTTTTTCTTGCCATGTAGCAAGCCAGTTTGATCTGTGCTTGGTTCTGTTTCACCCTATATGAGCCCTTCCTTCCTCTTTCCCTTCCTGTCTAGTAAAACAGGAAGTCCTGATTAATAATATTTTCTGGCTATTTTACTATTAAAATAATACATGAATTTTTTTTTTTTTTAATCACAGATCAACCAGTTTAGCAGAAAGTATAAAGTCAATGAACCTTAGGCCAGAAGAAGATGACATTCCATGGGAAGATTTACGAGACAACAGAGACTTAAATGTTTTTTTCAGCTGGGATCCAAAAGACAGGTAACTGGAATTTAACCCCAAGCAATTTTTAAAGTTTTTTTTCTTTCTTTTTTTTTCTTTTTTTTTTTTTTTTTTTAAAGAGACAAGGCCTTTAAAGAGACCAAAATCATAGCTCACTGCAGCTTTGAACTCCTGGGTGAAGCAATTTATTTTTAAAGAATTAAGATGGGCCAGGCGTGGTGGCTCAAGCCGTTAATAACAGCACTTTGGAAAGCTAAGGCGGGTGGATCACTTGAGGTCTGGAGTTCAAGACCAGCCTGGCCAACATGGTGAAACCCTGTCTCTACTAAAAATACAAAAATTAGTTGGACATGGTGGCATGTGCCTGTAATCCCAGCTATTCAGGAGGCTGAGGCAGGAGAATTGCTTGAACCCAGGGAGCGGAGGTTGCAGTGAGCCAAGGTCGCACCATTGCACTCCAGCCTGGGCAACAAGAGCAAAACTCCATCTCAAAAAAAAAAAAAAAAAAAGAATTAGGATGAATCTAAAGTTAAAAAAAACAAACTCCACTTTACACAAATATAAAATAATGTGTGTGTTGTAGTGATCAGAAAATATAGGTAAGCCAAATGAAGAAAGTGTAGCTCACCCCTATGCTGGGATTGCCAGTTAATCTAAAAGTTAGATCTACTTCACAGCATATATGAGAATTCCAGACGGATTAAAGACTATATGCTAAATTTTAGATTCCTTAGAAATTGTAGAAGAAAATATAGAAAAATATTTTTAAATAGGCGAGGAAAGCCTTTCTTAGCATTATACCAAATCTGGAAGCATAAAGAATTTAACTTCTGTAAATAGAAATAATAAATTTGTTAGGTTCTAAAGGTTTGTAGTAAATTTCTTCATATAAATATCCTTCATATGTAGAGAGAACTCTTAATAGTCAATAAGAAAACAAGAAATTGGGCAAAGGGCTTAACAAGAAGTTCAAAGAAACACATCTTACAGCAATAAAGATTTTGTTTCTAGCAAAAAAAGATGAATACTTGTGGTCAGCAAGACTGTGTGGAAAATACTTATTATGCATTTACACAGGGATAAATTTTATACAGTCTTCCTATAGGGGATTGTAGTGATCTATACCAAGATTTAAAACGCCATACACCATTTAATTTGGCAGATCTGCTTATAGGAAAATAGAACCTAAGGAAATAAATGCAGAAACATGCTAAGATGTGTATGTGAGGTAGTTCTGAACATTCTGTGATTTGTGGGTTGCCAAGGCCACATTCAGTGATTTAGAATTTTTGAGTCCCAGAAGGACTCACAGGGCTGAGCATATAGTTGCACTCAACGGCTAAGGCTAATTATAATGAAAGGACACATGACAGAATCTGGAAGGGAAAAAGGAACAGGCAGAGTCTGGAGAATTCAGACTTCAGTGTTTTCTCCCTCTGAGGGGAAACACTGAGTATGCTCCTTTCTCTAGCAGGGAAAAATGCAGTAATACAGGTGGAATGTTCCTGCCCAGGGAAACCCAGTAGAGACTTGGTGCTTAAGGTTTCATTGTTATGTAGGTACACTCTGTCTATCCTGAGTGGAAAGAAAGCAGGTATTCACTATAAACAACATGGTTTATATAAACAGTCTAGGCACAGCGAGCCACTCTTATTTTAGGGAACAGTTGGAGTGCAGAGTTCCCAGACATCAGCCAAGGGCCAACCTTGCAAGTAGGCCCTTCTAATGATAATAGCTACAGGCCTGCTATGTTAACTCTTTCTACACACACTGTCATAAAAAGATGAAGTTTGCAAAATAGTGTAAATACTCTAACCAGTTTGTTTAAAATTAAGTTGTATACATACTATTTTTAGTTACTTGTTTTTTTAGATAGAGCCTGTTGCGTACTGTAACCAATTTGTTTAAAATTATTAAGTTGTGTAAGTATTATTTTTAGTTGCTTTTTATTTTTGAGACCTAGTCTCTCTTTGTTGCCCAGGCTAGAGTGCAGTGGCGTGATCTCGGCTCACTGCAACCCCCACCTCCTGGGTTCAAGTGATTCTCCTGCCTCAGCCTCCCAGGTAGCTGGGATTACTGGTCCCCACCACCACGCCTGGCTAATTTTTGTATTTTTAGTAGAGACGGGGTGTTGCCATGTTGACCAGGCTGTTCTCAAACTCCTCGCCTCAGGCAATCCCCCAATCTGGGCCTCCCAAAGTGCTGGAATTAAAGGTGTAAGCTATCTCACCCAGCCCCAGTTTTTTTTTTTTTTTTTTTGGGGGGACAGAGTCTTACTCTGTCATCCAGACTGGAGTGCGGTGGTGCAATCTCGGCTCACTGCAGCCTCCACCTCCTGGGCTCAAGCAATTCTCCTGCCTTAGCTTCAGCTGGGACTACAGGTGTGTGCCACCACAGCCGCCTAATTTTTTTTGTATTTTTAATAGAGATGGGGTTTTACCATGTTAGCCAGGATGATCTCGATCTCCTGACCTCATGATCTGCCTGCCTTAGCCTCCCAAAGTGCTGGGATTATAGGTATTAGCCACTGCGCCCGGCCACAGCCCCTAATTTTAGTTAGATTTTTATACATCCGCATTACAAAAGTCTAAAAAGATCTATACCAAACTTGATAATACTGTGGGTATTGGTTATCAGGGCAGCTTTTCTACCTTTTACATTTTTCTGTCATTTGAATTTTTTATATCATGTATTATTATTTTTATTAGAGACAGGATCTTACCCAGGCTGGAGTACAGTGGCGTGACCATATCTCACTGCAGCCTTGAACTCCTGGGCTCAAGCAATCCTCCAATCTCAGCCTCCCTAGTATCTGGGACTATAGGTGTGTGCCACTACGTCCAGCTAATTTTTTGTATTTTTTTTGTAGAGACTGGGTCTTGCTATGTTTACCAGGCTGTTCTCCAACTCCTGGCGTCAAGCGATCCCTTACCTCAGCTTCCCAAAGTGCTGGGATTACAGGTGTGAGCCACCACTCCTGTCCTCATGTATTATTTTTATAATCAGAGGACAAAGTGTCATTTATAGGGAGAATGACCTCTTTTTTTTTTTGAGATGGAGTCTCTCTGTCGCCCAGGCTGGAATGCAGTGGTGCAATCTCGGCTTACTGCAAGCTCCTCCTCCCTGGTTCACGTCATTCTCCTGTCTCAGCCTCCCGAGTAGCTGGGACTATAGGTGCCCACCACCATGCCCAGCTAATGTTTTTGTATTTTTAGTAGAGACGGCGTTTCACCTTATTAGCCAGGATGGTCTCGATCTCCTGACCTTGTGATGCGCCCACTTTGGCCTCCCAAAGTGCTGGGATAACAGGCGTGAGCCACTGCGCCCGGCCGAAAATGACCTGTTGAATAGGTTATCATTCCCATTTTATTGATAGTGAAATGGTGTTTGAAAACATTTTGGCTTGTCTTAGGTCATTCAGCTAGTAAATGAAAGCTGGAACCATTCAAAGCATCTTAACTGGTGAAAGTTAACTTTTAAAAGATTTGAGGCCAGGTGCGGTGGCTCACGCCTGTAATCCCAGCACTTTGGGAGGCCGAGGTGGGCAGATCATGAGGTCAGGAGATCAAGACCATCCTGGCTAACACGGTGAAACTTCCAAGCTGTTGGAAGTCTCTACTAAAAATACAAAAAAAAAACTAGCTGGGCATGGTGGCGGGCGCCTGTAGTCCCAGCTACTCGGGAGGCTGAGGCAGGAGAATGGCATGAACCCAGGAGGCAGAGCTTACAGTGAGCTGAGATGGTGCCACTGCACTCCAGCTTGGGTTACAGAGCAAGACTCCGTCTCAAAAAAAAAAAAAAGACTTGAAAGCAATGAATTGAATAAGTTAGATAATTTGGGGATGTTTCTGTTTAAGGGACGTTTCTGAAGAACATAAGAAACTTTCCTTAGAGGAGGAGACCTTGTGGTTAAGAATCCGATCCTTAACATTGAGGCTGATCAGTGGACTTCCAAGTCTCAACCACCCTGTGGAGCCAAAGAACTCGGAGAAGACTGCCGAGAATGGGGTATCCTCCCGGATTGATATTCTTCGTTTGCTCCTTCAACAGTTGGAGGCAGCCCTGGAGACAGGAAAGCGATTTATTGAGAAGGATATTCAGGTACCATCAATATATATAATTTACCGTCAAAGTTGCAATAATTATATTTATGACTGTTTTATAAACAGGCGTTTGGGGTGAGTGAGTAGTAAGGAATTGTTTTGTCCCAGTTTATGGCTTCTGTAGGAGAAAGAGGAATATTTTAGACTCAGAGGGAATTGCAGAGGCTTCCTCAATATCCAGACTAGTGAGGGAGAAAGCAAAATAACTTTTTGTGATGGTAAGTTTTTAATAGCTAGCAACAAATTAATATAGATGTTCTGTTTTTACTGTAATGATTCAGTTTATTAGTTTGCTGATTAGTGGCTTTTAGCTGAGACAGGTTTTTATTCACTAGTTACTTGATTTTCTTATTTTGTATGCATTTAGATGGATCTAGAAGAGCATTATTTTTCTCCCTTTTTTCCAGTATCCTTTCCTTGGTCCTGTACCTACTAGAATGGGTGGATTCTTTAATTCTGGCTGTTCTCAGTGCCAGATAAGCTCTTTTTATCTTGTCAATGATATTTATGAGTTGGATACCAGTGGTTTAGGTAAGTGTACACTGTGTGTTTACAGGGTGTTTGTCATAGAAAATGTAGTACACGTAATAAAATGTCTATAACCTCACATTTGGAAAATTTTAGAGTATATGGCAGCTGGAAGCTGTTCTGGAAATGTCTGGTTTAGTATACAAGAGGGTACAGTCATAGGTTACAAAGTAATGTTTTAGATGCTTAAGTCCATTCCATATTTAAAATCACTTGTTAGGTCCAGAAGTTGAAGAAATTCTTCATTTGTTGAAAGGCTGTTGGATTTTAAAAATGAAGCAGTAGGCTGGGCGCAGTGGCTCACGTCTGTAATCCCAGCACTTTGCGTGGCTGAGGCAGGCGGATCACCTGAGTTCAGGAGTTCGAGACCAGCCTGGCCAGCATGGCAAAACCCTCTGTCTACTAAAAATACAAAAATTAGCCAGGCATGGTGGGGGGTGCCTGTAGTCTCAGCTACTCCGGTGGCTGAGGCAGGAGAATCGCTTGAACCTGGGAGGCAAAGGTTGCAGTGAGCCAAGGTAGCACCACTGTACAGCCTGGACGATAGAGTGACACTTTGTCTCAAAAAAAAAAAAAGGAAAAGAAGCACTAAACTTTGTAGAGAAGAGATTTTTTTTTGTAAGCTCTCAACCCATGAAAATCACAAATACTCTATAGATTTTTCCTTTTATTTATCTATTTTTTTAAATCATAAGGTTAGTAGATCCTACCATTTAGAGTGTTTGAAGCACATAGATTTTAAGCCCTGTTAAAGAATTTTAGGTAGTACCTTTGGCAGAAAGGTAATTAGTGCCTTTCCTTTTATTCTTCCTTTTCCTTTCATTATCTTTTTCTTTTTGTCTCAAAATAATGAAAAATGCATAAGGGTCTGTAGAGAAAAGAAAATGTCCTTGCCCATGAACTTCTTGCAGGTATTTATCTTGCTTCTTTATCTTACTAAAAATGGAATTGAACGTTTTTCATTTTTTGTTTTTCAATTTTAGAGGATACAATGGAGATCCAGGAACGAATAGAAAATAGTTTTAAGTCTTTACTAGACCAGTTAAAAGGTAAGTTTTCCTACTGTAGATTCCTGTATTTGTGTCTGGTTGTATGGCAATAGCTTGGAAGTTCTTTCCCCCATTCCCAAACCCAGTCACCCAGAGATAAGTAAGTAGTGTTAACACTTTGGAGTCAATACTCCTAGATGCCACCTAAGCACTTATATGTGTGTGAATGAAAATACAGATAAAAAATAATTTTTAAACATAGAAAATGGTGTAATACTTGCTTTTTTGACTTTAATTTTTTTTGTTATTTTGGATATCTTTCCATGTTAGTTATATATACTCCATTTATTTTCAAGACTGCATAATATTCTATAGTATTGTATTAACATTTTTTATGTTCTCCCCAATTGGTGACATATTATGTATATGAGTTATTTCTTCTACCAATGCTGAAATGAATATCTTGGGACAAATTGTTAGGATATTATTTGAGTCCTTCCTTGGGATTAAATTCCCAAGAATTTAATAGAATTATTAAATTGTTAAATTCCCAGTAATTTAATAGAATTGTTAAAGGGCACATATATGCATCTTATATCTATAAGAGTCTTTCTGGCCGGGCGTGGTGCCTCATGCCTGTAATCCTAGCACTTTGGGAGGCTGAGGTGGGAGGATCACAAGGTCAGGAGATCAAGACCATCCTGGCGAACACGATGAAAACCCGTCTCTACTAAAAATACAAAAACATTAGCCGGGTGTGGTGGTAGGCACGTGTAGTCCCAGCTACTCAGGAGGCTGAGGCAGGAAAATGGCACGAACCCGGGAGACGGAACTTGCAGTAAGCCGAGATAGTGCCACTGCACTTCAGCCTGGGTGACAGAGCGAGACTCCGTCTCAAAAAAAATAAAGGAGTCTTTCTTTTTAGGACCCTAAAGGATTTTTTTTTTTTTTTTTAAGAGATGAGGTCTTGTTATGTGGCCCAGGATGGACTCTAACTCCTGGACTGAAGCAGTCCTTCTGTCTTAGCCTCCTGAGTAGCTGGGACTACTGGTGTGCACCACTGAGCCTGGCTTGGTCTTATATTTTATTGCCCAGATGAAGAATGTCTGAAAACTTAATGATTAAGATTATGATAATAACATTTATTATCTGTTATGAAGATGCATTTCTACAGTGTACCTTTTTGGTCTTTCAGTATGAAGATGCATTTCTACAATGTACCTTTTTGGTTTTTCAGTTCATAATGGCACAAGTCTTCTGTGCTCATGATCTGTCTGAAAAGGCTTCGCTGGTGTTTAGACCGTAGAATATATAATTTTTAAGGCTACCTTTTATATTTTGAAGACTATAGAGCAATAGCATGGCTTTTTAAAGAACTTAAAATGGATAGTCTGTCCTTTGGAGTTGGGTTCATTATGGAAAATGAAAAAAAAATTGCTTTCTAAATTAAGTTTTTATTTGCTTATTCTTTATTTGTGTGTTGTGTTCCTTAAAATAGCATTGAAATAAAAGCTGAATAAAAGTAAACTGTTTTTTGTTTTCAGATGTCTTCAGTAAATGTAAAGGTGACCTCTTAGAAGTTAAAGACGGTAACTTGAAAACACATCCTACTCTTTTAGAAAATCTAGTTTTCTTTGTTGAGGTAAGTTTTTGTTCTCTTCCTACAAGACAGTGTTGTTCTTAATGGTCTACAGGATTCATTTTTCAACAGTGAACAGGTAATAGGCACCTTATACCTGCAACTTAACCCAGCATCCCTGTTTTTGTTAATTGAAAAGCAAATTTAAATCATTTTTAAACCAATTCCTTCCAAGAATTCTAAGATGATTTCATTCCTAATACTTAGGTAAAACTTCTTGAAATTTGCTATACTCATCTCTAAACTTCTCCAGATTCACCCCAAATCTAGCTGTTTTCATTCTCCTTTCTGACTCACTCTTTATTACGTAGTTTAATTCTTTCAGCTTCTTTTATTTGTTGTTGTCATTTATTAATTGCTGAGATATGCATTATGACAGCATCCAACAACTGATACAGCAAAACTCCCTCTTCTTTTTTTGCCAGAGAGAAAAGGAGGAGGATTGCAAACACTCATAATCTATTATCTTTTCTTTTATTCCTGTCATATATTTCTTAACCGTTCTCCCCTTACTGCTCTGTGTGGGGAGTGTACACTGTTCTGGTGATTGGCAAATTGTAAGTGCCTAAGAGATTTTTATTAAATGAATAATAAGCGGACATATATGTACATGCACACACTGTAGTATAGATGAAGACATATAAACAGCTAATTTGATACAATGCAGGATATGTGCTGATCAACTGGGTAGATTTCTCCATACATCTGTAAGTTAAGATTTGCAGGTAAGGTGGTATCTTACCTGCTTGGAGAGATGTGAGGGGAGAGGCATATTGTAAAGAACCTTTGGATTCCATGCCTAGGAATTTGGACTCTTCCCTGAGTGAAAAGGATGTTAATCGGTCCCCACTTCTCCAGGGAAGTGACAGAAAATTGGAGTGAAGTGGAGGATGGATTTTGAGCTAGGAGAGCCATAAGAAAGGCTGAAGAGTTAGGTCATTGTAGTATTCTGAGCAGGAGATGATGAAGGCCTGGATCAGTAGAGTGATTGCAGAAACTAGAGTGGAAATTCACATGAGAAATTGAAGGGATTTACATAGAAGAACTGCGTTAGAATTTGTTGAATCCATTGCTTCTAATTTCCTGATAGATATTTTTAGTGTAATCCTTATTGGTGAATTTGCAATTTTTCCTTTCAGACTATTTCTGTTATCCTTTGGGTATCCAGTTACTGTGAGAGTGTCCTGCGACCATACAAACTAAATTTACAGAAAAAGAAAAGGAAGAAAAAAGAAACCAGCATCATCATGGTAATAACAGTAACACAAGTGATATACAAGTACCAATCTGACCACATGCTACTTTTTCTTTTCTTTTCACTATTTTCCTCCATGTTGAGTCCTTAGGATCCTATATGCCAGGCTTCTCCAACCCACAGCTTTGAATGCATCCCAAACCCGTAAACTTTCTTAAAACGTTATGAGATTTTTTTAGTTTATTATTATTTTTTAAGCTCATCAACTATTGTTAGTGTTTTGTTTTGGTTTGGTTTGGTTTGGTTTGAGATGGAGTCTCACTCTGTTGCCCAGGCTGGAGTTCAGTGGCACTATCTTGGCTCACTGCAACCTCTGCCTCCTGGGTTCGAGCGATTCTCCTGCCTCAGCTTCCCAAGTAGCTGGGATTACAGGTGCCCGCCACCACACCTGGCTAATTTTTGTATTTTAGTAGAGATGGGATTTCTCCCTGTTGGCCAGGCTGGTCTCAAACTCCTGACCTTGGGTGATCTGCCCACCTCGGCCTCCCAAAGTGCTGAGATTACAGGTGTGAGCCACTGCGCCTGTCCAACATTAGTGTATTTTATGTGTGGCCCAAGATAGTTCTTCCAGTGTGGCCCAGGGAAGCCAAAAGATTGGACGTCCCTGCATATGCATTGTTTTTCTCCCCTAACCTTAAAAAAAATTTAAATTACACACCTACAGAAAAGTTGAAAGATTGATATGACACCCATAAAGATCTTTACCTAGATTATCAACTTTTAACCATTTATCACATTTGCTTTATCTCATTTGTTGAACCATGTAAAAGGAAAGTACAGACTTATGACATGTAACACATCAGGATAGAACGACGACAGGTCTCTGTAAAACCGTAATACTCAAGAAAATTTCAAACTCAAGAAACTTAGCATTGATACAATAATATTATCTAATAAAGTCCATATTCAGGCCGGGTGCGGTGGCTCACGCCTGTAATCCCAGCACTTTGGGAGGCCAAGACAGGCAGATCACTTGAGGTCAGGAGTTCAAGATCAGCCTGACCAACATGGTCAAACCCCGTCTCTACTAAAAGTACAAAAATTAGTCGGGCATGGTGGTGAGTGCCTGTAATCCCAGCTAGTTGGGAGACTGAGGTACAAGAATTCCTTGAACCCAGGAGGCAGAGGTTGCAGCGAGCCAAGATAGCGCCATTGCATTCCAGTCTGGACAACAGAGTGAGATTCCATCTGAAAAAAACAAAAAACAAATCAGTATTCAAAGTTTTCCACTTATTCCAGTTATGTCTTTTATATCCTTTTCCAGAATACTAGAATGCCGTCAGGGATCTGACATGACCTTTAGTTGTCATGTCTGTTTACCCTTCTTTAATCTAGAACGCTTCCTTAACCTTTTGCTTTGTTGTTGTTGTTGAAGACACTAGCTAGCTTTTTGGTAGAATGTCCCACAATCTGGATTTAGATAATCACTAAATGTAAGCTGATTGCTTATATTGAAGTTAAATATAGACTTGTTGTCTGTTTTAGTGAGTTAAATCAGGAGTCACTAATGTTGTTGTGTCCCATTATTAAATAATGAAATCTGAAATCACCAATAATGGGACACTAATGTGATTCATGTTGTTGTGTCCTGTTATTGGTGATTTCAGATTTCATTATATGATTAAGGACATATCTACCAGATTTCTTCATTATAAAGGTGCGTTTTTCTCTCTGTAATAAGTAAGGTATGGGATAATGCTTGAGTCTCTGAAAATCCTATTTCCCAATGGCCCTTCACCCACTAGTTTTAGCATCCATTCTTAGTTCAACGCCTGAATTAGTTATTACATTGATGTGTCCCAAATGATTTTTTAAAATTCTGTATTTTATCATTTATCAGCTGCTGTTATTTTGTAAAATAAGAGATGTCCCAACCCATTCGTATATATTTGAATATATTCTAATTTGAATATATATATATTTTTAAATGTCACTATTTGAGTATCACCATGGACTCTTTTTAAAAAAATTCACTTTATTATAATCCATTATCATCATTTTCGTTTGGATGCTCAAATTGTGCCAAATTTGTTTAGCTCCTTTAATCTAGTTTCTGTCCTTTAACATGTCCTCATCAGTTTTGGGGCCCTTTCTGGAATAGCATAAATGCTCCACATACTTGGTATTTTCTCACTGAACTGAAATCAGACATTTTTTCAAGAGCACTGGTTCCTTTATGGGCAATGAATTTCAAAACCAAGATCTAGGTGTTAGTGTGCTCATTGCTGTTGGGGTTTCCTGGCTTCTAGTTTATTTCTGTGATGAGACCTTAGGCAGTGTTTTTATGCATGCGCGTACACACACACACACACATGCACACACACAGTTTTACGTGATTTTTTTTTTTTTTTTTTTGAGATGGAGTCTTGTTCTGTGGCCCAGGCTGGAGTGCAATGGCCTGAACACTGCAACCACCACTTTCCAGGTTCAAGTGCTTCTCCTGCCTCAGCCTCCTGAGTAGCTGGGATTACAGGCAGGTGCCACTTTCCCAATTAATATTTGTATTTTTAGTAGAGATGGGGTTTCACCATGTTGCCCAGGCTGGTCTTGAATTCCAGACCTCAGGTGATCCACCTGCCTTGGCCTCTGAAAGTGCTGGGATTATAGGCATGAGCCACCATGCCCGGCCTACAAAAAGAATTTTTAGTGATACTTTCAAGCCAGCATTTTAGTGATACTTTCAGTTTCAAGAGTTCTTTCCACTCTTTCCCTCATTCCCTTTTTGTAGCTTCTTTTTCTCAGAGTGAGAACCCTGCATCCAAATATCAATATATTTATTTGTTGTTTCACAATAAATACTAAATAGTTTTGGGAATTCATACATCAGTTACACTACTAGTTCCAATAAACTCATTAAAGTTCAAATGTTTTGCAATTCTTTTTGTCCTTAGAATATGTTCCAGTGAGTGTAGACAGTTAAGATACTCTGTAAAAACACTGGAATTAAAAACTGAGATTACTTTTTATTAATATGATATAAAGTTCATTTCCATTTGTATTCAGTTTAAGGGTTCCCCCATCTTTATTGATTTAATTTTTGAATGTGAAAAACAGTAACATAATTTTTTTCCATTTCACAGGAAAATAATTTAGTGCTCATTATAGCTCATGATGTGCTGTTTTATTAAGGTTTGAGTTTATGTTGGATTTTTGTTCACTGTAGCATTATAATAATCATTATCGGCCGGGTGCGGTGGCTCAAGCCTGTAATCCCAGCACTTTGGGAGGCCGAGGCGGGCGGATCACGAGGTCAGGAGATCAAGACCATCCTGGCTAACATGGTGAAACCCCATCTCTACTAAAAATACAAAAAATTAGCCGGGCTTGGTGGCGGGCGCCTGTAGTCCCAGCTACTCAGAGGCTGAGGCGGGAGAATGGCGTGAACCCGGGAGGTGGAGCTTGCAGTGAGCCGAGATCGCGCCACTGCACTCCAGCCTGGGCAACACAGCAAGACTCCGTCTCAAAAAAAAAAAAAAAATCATTATCATTTGAAAATGTTGGCTGGGTGCTGTGGTTCACACCTATAATCCCAGCACTTGGGGAGGCCATGGTGGGGAGATTGCTTGAGCCCAGGAGTTTTGAGACCAGTCTGGGCAGCATAATGAGACCCTGTCTAAACAAAAAAAAATTTTTTAATTAGCTGGGCATGGTGGCATATGCCCATAGTCAGTCTTAGCTACTCAGGAGGCTGAGGCAGGAGGATCACTAGAACCTGGGAAATTGAGGCTGCTATGAGCTGTGATCGCACCACTGCACAAGGCTGGATGATGACAAAGCGAGACGCTGTCTCAAAAAAAAAAAAAAAAAAAAAAAAAAAAAAAGTTGATGTTTCAGTTATAAATTGACTTTCTGAACAATTCAGTTAAATTCAGGAGTTCCTTAGAGTGGATGCGCTGCTGAGTGTTGCTATTCATTCAAAAACAAAGGATATTTAGATATGAATGAGGGCGCTTCGAAACTTTCTTCTATTCATGAGAATTAAACAACAAGAACAGAGACAAAGATAATTTAACTGATCAAGAGTACAAAGTTCGAGGCTGGGCACTGGTAATCCCATGCTTGTAATCCCAACATTTAAGGAGGCAGAGGCGAGAGAATAGCTTGAGCACAGGAATTCAAGACCAGGCTGGGCAACATAGCAAGATCTCGTTCTCAACAAAAAGGGGGAAAAAAAAAAAGAGGGCAAAGTTTGAAAGTATAGGTCAGACTGGCTTTGTTGCTGTCCTTCTAATGAAGCTTACAACCCTAGAACATGTCAGATAGCTTTTTGGTAATTGCGTTTTGTAGCGTTTTTTGTTGTTTTTCTGGTTTCTAAAAGTGAGAATGGTTTTTCTGATATCAGAGTAACCCATAAAGGTGTGAATAAAGTGAAGATCATTCATATACCCACCAGTCAGTAATAACCACTGCGAAAATTTTCATGGTGAACAAACCTGCTATCCAGAAGGTTCTGTAACTTGCCTTTTTGTTTTCACATAACAGGGTATCTTGGATATCTTTTCATGTTAGTAAATATAGATACATCTCATTACTTTTAATGGTTATATATTGTACTGTTATATTAATATGCTATAATTTATATTGATGAATTGTTGGTTCTAATTTTTTGAATATTATAAATATGCTGCTATTGAGATACAGACAGAGCCACAAAGATACATTTATAATATAATTTTTCTTTTTTTTTTTTTTTTTGAGATGGAGTCTCACTGTCGCCCAGGCTGGAGTGCAGAGGATCTCAGCTCGCTGCAGCCTCTGCCTCCTGAATTCAAGCGATTCTCCTCCCTCAGCCTTCCGAGTAGCTGGGATTACAGGCGTGCGCCACCACGCCCAGCTAATTTTTTTGTTGTTGTCGTCGTTGTTGTTTTTGAGACAGAATCTCGCTCTGTCGCCCAGACTGGAGTCCAGTGGCGCAGTCTTGGCTCACTGCAACTTCCACCTCTCAGGTTCAAGTGATTCTCCTGCCTCAGCCTTAGGAGTAGCTGGGATTACAGGCGCCTGCCACCATACGCGGCTAATTTTTGTATTTTTAGTAGAGATAGGGTTTTACCATGTTGGCCAGGCTGGTCTCGAACTCCTGACCTCAGGTGATCCGCCTGCCTTAGCCTCCCAAAGTGCTGGGATTACAGGCATGAACCACTGTGCCTGGCTGTATTTTTGGTAGAGATGGCATTTCACTATGTTGGCCAGTCTGGTCTTGAACTCCTGACCTCAAGTGATCCACCCACCTCAGCCTCCCAAAGTGCTGGCATTACAGGCATGAGCCACCATGCCTGGCATATAATATAGTTTCTTTAGGATAGCTCTTAGATCTGAAATTAACTGTATATATATATTTATACAGTTAATAAATGTATATCCCCAACAGTGCTGAATGTGTCTGTATCTTTATAACCATTTGGGTAGGTAAATATTGGTATCTCCTTTTTCTAATACTGATTTTTAAATTTTTGTTGATATTGAACTGTCCAAGAATACTTCTTGAGTGAAAAGCTAGCCTTATTGATGGATTGGCTAGGTTTTTTAGTTGTATCACATGTTTCTTGGATTTCTTTGGTATGTTTTCTATTCTTTGTCCAAGTTTCTTATTGTGGTAGTAATATTTTTCCTATTTATATGTGTTGAGCTACTGGGTTCTTAACATAATAATGTTACTAATCCCCTGTCATAGGTGATGCAGTTTTTTTTCAGTTTGCTATTTGTCTTTTAACTTGAGTGATTTTTTTTTTCAATGTAGTAATATTTTTAAAAACAAGGATAATCTTTTTAATTGTTTTTAGCTTACTGTGATGTTTAGAAAGGCTTTTTTAACGTCAGTGTCATGATTGCAGAAGTTGTTACCTAATTTTCTTCCAGTGCTTTGATGGATTTTTTTATTTAAGTATTTATTCTATCTGAAATTTATTTTAATATCACTGTGTGTTATTTTGTATCTCCAAATGTCTAGCTGGTTATTTTAGTACCATTCATTCACTTGAAACCACTAGTTTGAAATGCCACTATTTAAATTCCCTCATATCTTTCAGTAGCTTTTGTGATGTAGATATGGGTAATATGTTTGATAATGTTTCAACTCTTTTTTAATCTTTTTCCCAGCCACCTGTCTTTACCAGTTTCCAAGACTATGTTACTGGGCTCCAGATTTTAATTTCCAATGTTGTGGATCATATTAAAGGGCTTGAAACATATCTAATTGCACTTAAACTTGAAGAACTTATTTTAGAAGACACTTCTCTCTCACCGGTAAGAGATTGTAGGCAATCAGCAATGTTTTCTACACAACACACACACACTCTCTCTCTCTCTCTCATCTTTATCACAAGGATAAGTTAAAGTTCAGTTTATCATTTCCTCTTTATAAGACTTGTGACTAGAAGGTGCTTGGCAGTAGTTTCTTGTTGTGTTGGTGGTGGTAGGTTTTTTCCCCCTCTTCATTTTTTCCCATACCTCCTCCTTTCTATACATTTTTGGGGTTGTTCTTTTACTATGAAAACTAATGCCAGCATTTTGAGGAACCAGCCATATTTTGAAATCCAGGGACAATCTTGTTGAGTAGAATTTACCTGCTGCTGAGTTAGCTGTCTTCCTTGCCACCCAGTTATCACCTAAGAAAGGAGAAATGCTGGACATCAGAGGTAATTATGTCAGTAATAATTAGGCTAGAGCAAGCCAACCAAAAAGGGAATGAAACCAAGTATGGAATCAAACGTACCACCATCAAATGTCTTCTGATATTATTTTAGGTCTTTTCAAATTCTAGTAGTTAGCAAAATCCTTATAAAGCCTTTTCCCTTAAAATAATAATTCTTTTTTGTAAATGTTAATTCATCGGCCTGGAGTAGGTTTAGGATTTTGATAGGGGCCAGAAGGACTCCACCAGTGGTGGAGTCATCTGTTTCTAGTCTGTTGCTCCAGGCTGATTTTTAAATTTTTGTTGATACTGAAACTGATCTTAAGAAAATGCTTCCCTCCAGGAGTTTGTCTGAGCTAAACTGCTGATGAGGGAATTTATCCAGTAACTTGAGGGCAGCCATCATCATAGCACCAGACCTTCATAGGAAAGGGAATGAATAGAATTTTCCTTCTTAGCACACCAGCCTTAAGAGATTGTAAGCCCCTCTTTTGTAAAGCTTAAAAACGTTAGACTTTGAACAAGGTTTTTACTGTGGGAAAGGGCTCAGAGCAGTTCATATTACCAAAGATTGATTTTAAAAAGCAGACATGGGTTGGGCGCGGTGGCTCACGCCTATAATCCCAGCACTTTGGGAGGCTTAGGCAGGCGGATCATGAGGTCAGGTGAAACCCTGTCTCTACTAAAAAAATACAAAAAAATTAGCCGGGCGTGGTGGTGGGCGCCTCTAGTCCCAGCTACTCGGGAGGCTGAGGCAGGGGAATGGCATAAACCCCAGAGGCGGAGCTTGCAGTGAGATCGCGGCACTGCACTCCAGTCTGGGTGACAGAGTGAGACTCCATCCCCCACCCCCCTAAAAAAGCAGACATGTTCATATTGAACTGAGTGAGTGAAAAAATCACTCCTTTCAAAATGAACATGTCTGCTTTCTTTAAGAGTGGGGACATTTGAGGAAGATTAATTGGTTTTCACCAGGTAGAAAGAAATGTAGGAAAAGGATCCCAAGCAGAAGGAGGCACAGATAAAAGCACAGGGGCAGGAAAGTGAATTCTGTGGTGCAGTGTGACACAGTTGGCAGGGCCAGAGCTTATGGTGTACGGGAAGGGGTACCATAGATATACTATTAGATATGAAGATGATAGGCACAATAGCCCTGTTTTGACTATCAAGTGGTTGTTTATGTTAAAAGATCTCTCTGCATCCTGAAATGATGAGCAAGAGTTATTTTCAGAGTTCTAGAGGTTATCCTTAACTTGGCCATGCTCTAGATTTTTGAAGCCCTAGCTTCTGTTCTTGTCTTTTGACCTTGGGAAAGTTATTTAACCTCTCTAGGCTTCAATCTCTTTATCTGTAAATGGGAATGATAATAATGCCTACTTCATAGGATTATAGCAAGGATTAAACAAAGCAGTAATCGGCCTTATATTGCCTACTTTTGTTAAAGTCATGTTTCATATAGTTACTGAGCAGTACCAAATACCTGATGCATATGGTGCTGGCTACTTGTCTTTTAAAGGTAAAAATCTCTTCAATTCAGTTTTCATTAGGCTCCTTTGCTTTCTTTCCTCCCTTTCTTTCTAAACTTGAAACACTGTGAATAAGGTCTCTGGACTATGACCTCTAGTCCTGATTCCCTTTCTTCCTTCCTATGGGATATCCCAGTGAAACTGGTTGTGTGTTAGGACCTTTTTGTGTGTATTTATATTCATAGAGAAAATATACAGTATTTTATTATTTTGTACTTTAAAAAACGTAAATTCGGCCAGGTGTAGTGGCTCATGCCTGTAATTCCAGCACTTTGGGAGGCCCAAGGCTGGAGGATTATTTGAGCTCAGGAGTTCAAGACCAGCCTGGGCAACTTAGTGAGTCCTGCCTCTTGAAAAAAAAAGTTTTTTAAAATCAGTTTTATGTTCAAGAGATCTGTTCAAGCTAATGCCTATGGATCAATCTTGTTCATTAAACAGCTGCAGAATATAAATGCACCACTGCTACTGGACATTTTAGGTTGTTTCTTTATATTTGCTTTTTACATATGTTACCGAGTGAAATGTGCACACCCTTCTATGCACATTTGTATTTCTAAGGAAAATTAGACCTGAAGTACTAGTATTGTTGGGTCAGAAAATATATTCCTTGTTTCTTCTACAGTTCTGGGCTCTGCAGCACTCAACTTCATGTAAACCTAATCAGTCTTCAGCCAGCCTCCTTTCTCTGTGAGAACTCACTCCTTCCCCTTTGTTTTTTGTAATCTCCCCAAACATTTGTCAGCAAATAATAACTCATATTAAAGAATATATATTTGGTCTCTTGAACTCAGGGGCTTTGTCAATATGGAGGGAGACTTGTTAATATTGTAACTGGAAATGATGGAGTTGGTAAAGTTGAGGCCATTATTAAAAGTGGCTGTGATGATGTACAAATTAGTAATAAATTTCTACTTTTTTCTGATGAAAACAATCAGAAATCTCAAATTTTCCACTTTGTATAGCTTATAACAAAATAGTAGGGATTTTATGTCCAAACTAGTCATAATTTTCTATTTTTATTGATTAAAAAGTAGTAATCAGAAATCTCAGTTTTTCTTCTTTTTTTTTTTTTTTTTTTTTTTTTTTTGAGACAGCTTCACTCTGTCGCCCAGGCTGGTGTGTAGTGGCACGATCTCAGCTCACTAATACCTCTACCTCTCGAGTTCAAGCAATTCTCGTGCCTCAGCTTTCCGAGTAGCTGGGATTACAGGTGTGTGCCACCATGCCTGGCTAATTTTTGTATTTTTAGTAGAGATGGGGTTTCACCATGTTGACCAGGCTGGTTTCGGACTCCTGGGCTCAAGTGATCCACCTGCCTGGGCCTCCCAAAGTGTTGGGATTACAGGCGTGAGCCACTGTGCCTGGCCCAGTTTTTCTACCTTATATAATTTACAACAAAGGATACTTGAAAGAGTAATGATGCTAAAGCAATAGGGTTTCCATGAAGAATCACATGGAAAAATACCCATTTGTGATGGCCTTTTGCTGCCTTTGCATTTTATGCAATTGAAAATGACCCACTGTGTTCTGATGGAGCTTGCGATGAGACCAAAGGTAATGGCAGCTTTAACTTTTATCTGAGAAGTAGAATCTGGGGGCATGGTTTTTAAACAAGATTAATTATTCTTGTCTCCTCCTTTATAGGAAGAGAGAAAATTTTCAAAGACTGTGCAAGGGAAGGTGCAGAGCAGTTATCTGCATTCACTTCTGGAAATGGGGGAGCTGCTGAAAAAAAGACTTGAGACCACAAAGAAACTAAAAATTTAAGAAAGTATCAACCACGGGCACTGATGACTCTGCAACAGAAAATGACACCATCTTCCCAGGCAAAAGCAACATCTGGTTGACCATGATTTTAATCCAGAACTTCCTCATAAAATGCATGAAGGACTTTGATCGTGAATTTTTTTAGGTGTTAAATATATACAACTGATTAAATTATTGTATATAAACCAGAAGCAGGACCCTTATCTGGGTTTGACCACTTTTTATACATGTTCATATGCATATGGCAGCAACAAGAGAACCCTACTTTTCTTCTTCCCATCACCAGAAACATCTTTTCAGGGAATCGGGGGGGTCTATAAAAACAGCAATAGAAATTAAGCATAAAGCATCAACCTCGTAGCAACTGAGTAGCCCTTCCATTATAAATAACCATGAGAGTATTTGGTCTGGTCGTTGAGCCACAAGTCATGGAAGGGAGACCATGCCTGCGAACAGGCCCCCTTTCCACAGCAGTAAGTTTGTTTTGAGGTTTGCTCAGCTACTTGGCTCCCACAGAACCCAAGGCAGTTACACAAAGGACCTTAGATGAGATCTGGCATATGCACCCGTCATAGAAGGGCACCACTTGGATGACCACAGGCCCTCACTTTTTGGCTTAGTTTTTGTCTGATAGTTAAGACATCCCCATCCTGGCTTCTGTGAGAGTTAAAATCTCAGGAAGGCAAGGAAGGCTCTGTTAATTTATAGCTGTTTAGAGGGGAAAGCAGTGCAGACCACTTATTAAGCCCGCTGAGGACTAGCTTTCTGTCTTTCATATATTTGGGAAAGATGGGAATGACTGTTTCAAAGAAGAGAGGTGTACATAATTTATGCAGGCAAGTCTGATACTTATTTCATTGGTTTTGTGAGTCATATATATACATATATATGATGAAAATTAAGATTTAATACTTTAAGTGGGGGGTTTGGGAAGGAAGGAATGTAATATTATGGATTTAACCTTAGGCTTTAAGTTTTAGGCTGGCAAAAGAAATGTTATTCAGTGGGTTTGAGGTTTGAACTACTTTCTTCAAACTTAGAGAAATGTAACAGGATGGTGTTTACTTTGTTTGCCTGGATGTCCCCAAGACTATAGCTTCTTCTATCAGAGGTTGGTCTGATAGAAGAGGTAAAAATTGCTCTTGAAAATGTCATACAATTTATACAGTTTCTTCGATAATATTTTTCTGTTTGAATCCCTGCTTCTGTTTTTGGTCTGTTACCTATAGTTCAAGTTTAATTGTGTAAGAGCAAAGAAATGAATTTGATGAGGAAATTAAGCATCCAATGGAGGATTGGTCTTGAAGACCTTAAAGGTGCTTTCCAATCTGCACTGCTCCAGTGAAATGTGATACTTTTTTCTTTTAAAAGCAACCAAGAGAGCTGGGAATATCTGTGTATTCATAGTAATTGCATTTCGTCCCTCCATTTTGACTTTCTTAGATTCATAATTTGATATAGTGCTTAAACTTCCAAGGAAAATTTAAACAGTTACTGCATTACCTGTTCAAAATAAGGCTTGTTGGAAATCCTAGTCCATCAAGTAATTTCAAAAATTTATTTTTGATATGAGTAGCCACAGCTGTCATATACCCCATCCCAAAAGGAAGAACTGTCTTAAACAAGATGAATGGAAAAGTCTGGTTAATTCTGAATTTCATGTAATGACAACATATTCTTTCATAAAACTATGGCCTGTTTAAGATGGAACTTTGCGTGTGTCTGCTGGGGAGCGTGGGGTACCTGTGTATGGCATGTGTTCTTGAAATGATGTCTCTCTGAATATCCAAACAAGTACTGTACTGTAGAAATGCTCTTTGAAAAAGTCTGTCAACTGACCATGATCAATCTAGCATATATATATGTTCAGTGGGCTGGCCTTGGTCCTCAGGGACAGTGTGTGACTCTAGTGGTCTTCCTAACCAGTCTCTTGCCTGAAAATATCTGGGACCTCTACTGGCTTTAATGACAAATAATGTTATGTTGAGGTTATGCTTCCTTTGTTATTTGCTGATTTTCCTACTAAATGTAGCATTTCAATTAGATCCAGCTTTCACATTTTGAGATAATTGTAAAAAGAATGAAATTATGCAGAAATGGCCAATATCTCTTATCAATCTGTTCTTTTGGTAACCCTCATGCACTATAAATTGTGTACAGTTAAAATATATATATATATACACATATATATATTCTTACATGAGTAAAAAGCACCCTCTCCCAGCAATCGTATGTCATTGGTATTTGAAGAGAATTCCCAAATAACTCATTGCTGCTGCTGCTGTTTTTGATTTGTATGGGTTTTTTTGTTTTATTTGTTTTTGTGTGGTAAATTGATATTTAAAAAAGGAAAGGAGAAAAATCACGACTACTGTTTACAGACTGAAAAATTATTGCTTTTTATACTACTGAGATCCTAAGTTAAGACTCTCCAAAGCAAACATTTGGTTTAAATCATTTATCTGATGTGGATAAAAGGTAGAGAAACTTGTAGTGTTCTCCACATAATGGAAAATGTAAAAATGCCTAGTTGTGTTGCCCATCAATTTTGTATATTTTCATAATTTCAATTGTTCAAAATTGCATTATATTTTGCAATCACTATGTTCAATCTGGATTTGTCTTTCATTTTAACTTTTAATATAAAAAGGGGTTTCAATGTATCTACAGGCTTGTTATTGAAACTTCCTACTTATTTGATGTGATTTATTAATATGGGAAGTATATATTCTTCCTTCTTAAGTAAGTGAAGCATAGCAAATCTACTTTAAACTGGATGGGTTAATTTATATAAACATTTTCATTTTAAGTTGGCATTTCTGCCTGGTTCCTTTTTGTTCAGATTCTTAGAAGCCACAACCTTCTAAATGGTGTAATTCATCTCAATTGTGAATTTAGTGCTATATCCCAGCATATTTTTAATATTTGAGAATTTAGAATTTTTATTTGAAGTCAACTAGTCCTTTTGGCTCAAAAGTTAGTACCTTCTATACTTGCAGTTATTAAACATACATGTACTGAACACTTAATTAGCATATAGCAGATTCCACTTTAGGCTCTGCTGAGATGCTGTGTCCTAGTTAGTAAATGAGTAACGTATATCCCAGTTAGTGGCTGTGAGATGGGGAAGAGGCAATAAAAATATTAGTTTGTAATTACATCCTGCTTAATAATGTAAATCACAGTATATGAATTGAGTGTGTCTAGATGGTCACTTCAGACTGGGTCACAGGAGGACCTCCCAAGTGGTGACCTCTGATTTGAATGATGAAGTTTCAGGAAAAAAGTAACACATATGCAAATGCCCCAAGGCAGGAGACTGCTGAGCCAGTTCCAGGAAGTGAAAAAATGTTCAAGTGGCTGGGACTTAATGAAAGGGGTAGGATTGAGATAGAAAGTTGAGCAGGGATGAGATCCATCAGGACTTTGTAGTCTGGGGAAGGAATGAGATTTTATTCTAAATTTAGTGGGAAGTTACCGGAGGATTTAAGGCAGGCTGGTGACATGATTTATCCAAGGGTACTCAAACCCACAAGCTGGGATTCAGAACTTATTCAGGTACATTGACAACATGGTAGAAGTAGGAACTTTTTCTCTTTTTTACTTTCTGTCTTGTCATATTGTCCCCTTGTATGAGCCCCAAAGAGTCAGTTTTTGCCTCTTTCTTCAGTTATGAATTAACTCCATCCCAAGGTTTTTCTTTTTTTTGAGACGGAGTCTTGCTCTGTCACCAGGCTAGAGTGCAGTGGCATGATCTTGGTTCACCACAGTCTCCGCCTCCCAGGTTCAAGTGACTCTCCTGCCTCAGCCTCCTGAGTAGCTGGGATTACAGGCGTGTGCCACCACACCCAGCTAATTTTTGTATTTTTAGTAGAGACGGGGTTTCACCATGTTGGCCAGGATGGTCTCGAACTGACCTCGTGATCTGCCCACCTCGGCCTCCCACAGTTCTTCTCTAGCAAAAGATAAGTACTTGGGCATACCTCGCTGCCATTCTTTTCTCCACAGATGGGCTCAGGTTTATGCTTTTTTACATGCCGTTTTTTTAGATGCTGTTCCTGCTTTGATGCAGACATGTATTTCATAGTACAACTGGAGGGTAAGCTACCATGAACCAAATGCTTATACAAATTATTTGTGGGGTTCCTACGGGAGTTTATGCTTCAGAAGTGCAGAGCTTTTCTGCAACCTTCAGCTTCCATATAGTCCAGTAAATTTAGGCCTCAGATACTGTAGTTTTGGGTTTTTTTGAGACAAAGTCTCGCTCTCGTCCCCTAGGCTGGAGTGTAGTGGCGCGATCCTGGCTCACTGCAACCTCCACCTCCTGATTTCCAGCGATTCTCCTGCCTCAGCCTCCTGAGTAGCTGGGATTACAGGCACCTGCCACCACAGTCTGCTAATTTTTATATTTTTAGTAGAGACGGGGTTTCACCATGTTGGCCAGGCTGGTCTTGAACTCCTGACCTTAAGTGATTCACCCGCCTTGGCCTCCCAAAGTGCTGGGATCACAGGCGTGAGCCACCACACCGGCCCAGACACTGTACTGTTTTACAAATCAGAAAACTAGTTGTTGTAGGTAAGACTACTATTTAATATTGAAATTGTTGAACTCTCCTGCAAACGATTCAAACTCCCTTAAGCTTTGAGGAAATGAGCTAAAATCCAGATCCCCCTCACCATCTCTCTCACATTCTTAAGTCTTGTTGGCCATGTTCATATTCCCAGATTAGTTCCCTATGTATAATCTCTGTGGATGCAGTTCCAACTCCAACATTTTTTTTGTGGTGCCAATTACCAAGAACTATTTGTAAATTACTCTTGGCACCATTTGAGATAACTTGTAAGTTCCTTAAACACAATTCATGTTGGATCCAGTGTCTGCTTTGCTTCAGGTTATCAGGAAACTCCCTTAAAATTGAAAATACTTAACCAGGTGTGGTGGCATGCACCTGTACTCCCAGTGGATCACTTTAGCCTAGGAATTCAAGTCTAGCCTGGGCAACATAGCAAGATGCCCATCTCTTTTAAAAAAGCAACTATAAATATTTGATTGATTCTGGGATTCCAGTCCATAGTCTTCATTAGAATCTGAGTAGCAGTACTTGAGCCACAGGATTAGTAAATGCTAACAGGTAGAGGAAAGGAATCCATTTGACTTGGGTCAGGGAAGACTGGATTTTATGTGACACATGCAAATCACAAGACTCTATAAAGAGGGCTCATCTTTAATGAAAACTATTGGCTAACAAAGGGCCTCTGACATACGATAATGTAGTTTTGCCCAATAGCTCAGGTTTCTTCAACTCAAGGCCCTGGGGTTGTAAAGAACCATGCCCAGCCAGAACGCATCCAGTGCCGTGCCCATGGAGGTAGTCACATTCCTGCTTCTTACAATTGAGAATCAAGATTAGTCTTCATTCACGGACTGTGGGTGCATTTAATATTAGAGTCCTTTCCCTACCTGCCATTTGTCATCTCATTCTAATTTCTATAAAACAGTGAATACTTTGCTCTTTGTAAGTGATCCTGTTTACATGGTACACACTAGAACAGCCAAAGCAAATTTACCAGTTAGAAGTGTCCAAAAAGATCTTCCAAAAGTTTCAGTGAGAACTAAAGTAATGAGAAGGAAATTCATCATATGTAGAGTACGTAAGCTGTCAGCAGGTGGATGTTTAGGTTTAAACATCTTTTACTTACTTGGTTTGAATTGTTAGCCTAAGCTATCACAATTTTTTGTCCCATCCAATTCAACACATGGAATTTCCTCTATTTTTTGTTTCCAGTAACTAAATATACCAACCTGGATAAAATGGAGGAAAACAATTCAAGGTCTTATTTGCCAACTCCATTCTTTGTGTGGGTGCAATTAGACATACGTCAGGAGCTGTGGTCTGATAACATTTTCACATAGTTAAATAGGAAAGTAGGGCTGTCGTGAAGCTCACTATTGCAGATAACTGCTTCTGAGTCTGAAGAAAAGATGTGAATGTTGGCACAAGTGCTCTTTAGTCTGCTTTCTAGAAGTTAGTATTTATTTAGTGACAGATAGTGATTTAGATGGAAAATGTTTTAATTTTCAGATTGGACTGGACTATATCATTTAGCTGTGTAAATCCAAGTCACAGAATATATCAGTAAAAGAAAGAATTTGCTATGTGTACCTCACAAAGCATGGAAAATAATCACACCATGGTCCATCAATGTTGGTTCAATGTATTCATCAATACTGCTACTGAGTTTTAAGGACTGGAAAATGGACAACACACTTTACCATTAACAGTCAATCCATGTCAGTCTGAATATCACTGGAAAATAACAAAGGTATGCCAGTTTCCACAGTGTTACGAGGACAGTTTATTACGCTGGGAAAGTGGAGTCCATACCAGCTTAGATTCAAAGAGGAAAGCAGGTCATAGACCAAAGTATAATTTGAAAAGACAACAGAATGGCTTCAGGTCCACTTAACCAAAACACTGAAACTTTAATTGAATGAGAATTACACCTGTCAAAGACCTGGGCGGTATACTCCTCTCTCCTCTATAGCACTAATTCCTTCTGAGGGGTCATTTCACCAGCCACCTGAGTAAGTGCTCCAGCTATCCCCAGACCAGCTAGAGACATCCCAAGCATGGTCACATCAGCATCAATGTCCAGGCATACTCAGGGCTCAGAATCGTGGGTTAGTACCACTTTTCCCACTACCCCCTTATATTCCACAAGGGACTCACAGCCAGCAGGTTAACTCTCCCCTCCCTACCCCCACCAAACCCTGGAAAACCACAGACGGCCTTTTAAAGCTCCTCTTTCTCGGCCCCCTTCTTCTGGAAGGCAGTCAGGATGTTTAAGCTCTTCTGGAGCTCCTCCTTCTTCCCATCACTCATCTTGTTCTTCTCAATCAGCCTGGCAATCCGTGTCATCTCTGATGCTGGGAAGTCCTCCCCTTGGTCTAAGATCTTCCCCATGATCTTCAGGTATTGCTCGGCCCACTTCTTCTCAGTCTCCTTCACACTTGAGAGGTTGTCCTGCCCCCGCTTCAAGAGGGCCTGGCGGGCCTCCACACCAGAGGCCCTGATGAACTCCCCGGCGAGAGTGTCGTATACAGGCAGGCAACCAGGCATACCTAGGTAGACCCCTTGCCCCTTCAGCCAGCGCTGAATGGCTCCAACCTTAACTGCCCCAGTGTATGGGACTGGGTTCTCAAAGTCCCCATCCCGGAAGAGGTAGAAGACTGGGTAGCTCTCTTTGTCCAGCTTGTATTTCTCACTCAGTTCCATGTTCAGTTTGTCACCATAATCTGTGAGCAGAAACCAGACACAAAAAGCAAGACCATGAGGAACTCAGGGCAGAAAATTGCTATGGGACCTACCTGCACTGAAGGGAAGAAGAATTTTCTTGGCCATGTAATGGTTCAAAGTGAGGAGCAACCATACATACCTGGGTTTGAATTCCTCCTCTACCACTTCCTAGCCATGTAGCACTAGGCAAATAATTAAACTCTGAACTGTTAGATGAAAAAATGGAGATTCTTCTGAATATTTATTATATGCCCACTATGTGTCAGATGCTGTTCTAGGTGCTGAGGGTCTAGTTGTGATTAAGAGTATTAAGCTCGGCCGGATGCGGTGGCTCATGCCTGTAATCCCAGCACTTTGGGAGGCCAAGGCGGGCAGATCACGAGGTCAGAAGTTAAAGAGAAGCCTGGCCAACATAGTGAAACCACCGTCTCTGCTAAAAATACAAAAAAAAAAATAGCAGGGCATGGTGGCACATGCCTGTAGTCCCAGCTACTCAGGAGACTGAGGCAGG